AGGCAATTTTAGATTTCATTTTTGACCTTCAAGAATTTTTTGGAATATGTTGCCAATATCCATGCAGCTGGTCAAGTTGGTCTTAAAGTTTAATATATTTTGGCCTTTGCACAATATTTTGTGTTGAATATGAATACAAACAATTAGCACATTCATAGTTTCTCTCTCAAATATTCACATTTTTAGGGTCAGGATATCTGAGGCTCCTAGTTCATTGATAATCATATGATGTAAGAAAACAGGGCTATAGATATAAAGCTTTTGATTATTTGGGTATTTTACTCAGGGGATTGATTTTGATTGGTATCCACAAGTTTTAGAGGGTGTTCAATTTTTTTTACCCACCTGTTTCTTGACATTTGGGTATTGAACTTAAAACCTGTTAAGTAACAATCCCTGTATATCATTAAAAACTTTGTGAATAGTGGTACACCTGTCTGTGTCTGCTTGCGGCTCCCTGCCTGGGAAGCCATTTTTTGTCTACAAAACCTAGCATTGTAAGAAAGGCGCTATTGTGTTTATTTCCAATCAGCGACTTGTTAAGATACAACATGTACATTGCCTAGGCAAGATGTTCTTTTCAATGTGGCATCTATCAGTATGTTTGTCACAGAAGCTTTTCCGAATGTAACTGTCGGTAAGTGAATTTGGCGATCGGCTCATACACAATCATTTTATCTAAATTGTAATATACGCATTAATTTTATTTGAATAGCATATTTATAGTTTTTGTTGTGATTTGATATGCAGGGATTTGCTTTATCTGCATATTTCACTATATTTAATGCATAATTTACGCAAATAAACAGCTTATCGCGAGCTCTTAGAAAATAAACCTTTGGTATTATCAGTGCTGCACGCCTGCAGCTGATCAAGCTCCACAGCAAGGACACAAGGATGAACCTGAGTGAGGAAGACTGGGGCATGCTGGTGGACAAGACGGAGGGGTACTCAGGTAGCGACATTGCCACCTTCACACTCGGGGCACTGTTTGAACCGGTCCGAGACCTACAGGCGTCACTTCATTGGAGACAGTTGGCAAGTATGTTCCTCACCATCTTCCCGAGGCAAGCGTGTCTACGAGCATATATCAAAGCCTAGTTTCTACCCTTGCTACATCAAGGCCACTTTTTTTGGCACTGGTGCCACCTCGCATAGATTATGAGTTGTGACCCTTGTAATGAAAACGCAATATCCAATCAGATCACTGATCTTATCTTGTATAGCTTCACAGAAATGGCAGCTACCATAGGTGACGACCTTGTATAGTGGAAACATTCACGATTTCATCCCTGACACAAAAACATAGGCAATCGTTGGGGGGTTAAAAGATGAAAAAGATATATTCATGTCAACGAAGACAGGCAGCGGTAAATCACTTTCACATGAAGGTGTACAAGTCGTTGATGTTGATTTTGTGAAACGTTCTCTGATTGGACTATTGATATGTGCGATAGTCCAATCATATTTAGCACAGGAAAGTGGGCTTGATGTGGCAAGGGTGGAAACAAGACTTTGATAAAAAGGCTAGTGTGTGCTCTTGCCTCGGAACGATGGTTCCTCACAACATTACTGTGTTGGGCCACAGTCTCAGTGGTATGACTGTTGTAAGAATGTGGCCCAGACAGAGGACTATTAAAGGCATTTTGGTAGTGACACTCCTAATTATCCCAAGGTGCTATTTAAGCCTGTGTGATCAACAAATATGTAAGGATGTCTTCTGTAGAAGTAATCAAGGTATTGTATGTGAGGAATCACATCAAGTAATGAGTGCGATGGAGTGAGAAGGGTTATGTCATGGTGTGTCAGCACAATGTGGGAGGAAAGTCCAAAGTTATGCATGCCATATATTGAGTGAGTGTTGGGTTTTCTGAAGCTTTAAACAATATTTAACAATGTACCAGTAATAGATCGCAGCATATTAATTCACAGGCAGTTCTCTAATGATATTACTTTCAAACCACAGAACCATATGTGGAACCGCCACTGCGTTTTAATGTGGAGGCTAGCCAAAAGCATCACATGATGCAGACGTTTATCTTGGTGACACAGATTACTATGGCAACTATGGATATATTTTCTGTAAAATGTTTGATCTCTCTTGTGACCACCAAGGTATTTATATAGACCTCCTCTGAAGCCGATATTCGGCCCCAACTCTACAGCAAATGACAGTAAAAATTCCCAATTTGAATTGAAAATTTCCAAATTCCTCAGAATTTACAAAATCTAATTTAAACAATATCATGATTTTTTCCCAATTTTCCTGCCAAGAGCACTTAGTTTGGAATCATAGATATATCCCTGGACTCTGGTGGTAAGTAAAGATAACAATCAGGCAAATCAGGGATTCAAACCCAGAATAGATGGATCCTGGCATGGGAAATGGACACATGTCAGCACAGCAACTTTGGTACCTTAGGTCAGTGGGTCACCCTGGCGTCAAAGTATGAGAAGAAATGTACACATTGCTGTTTCAGATGGTCAACTGGCACCATGCAACTCATCCTTCCCAGGGGCTCTCTCCTTCACCTTGTCAGATATACCTCCAGACCAGGTATTTGTTCAGTGGAAAGTGAGTGAGTGAGTTTGGTTTTACGCCGCTTTTAGCAATATTCCAGCAATATCATGGCGAGGGACACCAGAAATAGGCTTCACACATTGTACCCATGTCGGGAATCGAACCCGGGTCTTCGGCGTGACGAGCGAACACTTTAACCACTAGGCTACCCGACCGCCCCGTTCAGTGGATAGACATTATACTATATTTTGACATCCATAACTTCAATGCCATGCGTGAAGACTCATATTCATCTACAGATTCAGAAATCTGTAGCCACTTTATCCGCAAATTAATCTTGTATTATTTTTCTGTGGTTAATGTTTTAGTTAAAATTATGCTGTGATGTGTTGTGGTACGTTGTCAATTCATCGTTTCACAATTTTGACATTGCCTCCTTTACCACAAGGCCAATGAAGCTGAAACATTCCATGAATGATCCAAGCTATTGTGTCTCTTGAAGAATTCCATTCCAGTTTTATGTGTGCCACCATATTTGCCCATTATTTAGCCATTTAGGCATGTATCATTATGAAATTGGATATTCAGCAGGTTTGCGGTATGCAGAATAATGTCTAATACATTTTATGTGTTTTGTTCCAAATTCTATTTTCTGACTTATCAATGACCTTTCCTATGTGTATCTGTATCACTGCATTTTCCACATTTCCTGTGGGATTATGAAGCTGAAAGTTTGTGTGTACTCAGGCACTGAGAGAGAAGAGAAGGTTTTTGTACACACCATATTGTTTTCAATACTGGCATGGTGTTTATATAAAACTAAAATTGTCTGTTGTAGTAAGCATGTGTGAATTTTGATATTGACTGAGCTTTTTAGTGGAAAGCTTATGACAGATGAGAAAAGACAAAAGCTCATGTTCTACTGTCTAAAGAAGGAAACAAACTACCTGATGACCTGGTCCTTTTGAAAATGAGCTTGTAAAAAAATCATTAATTACAGATCGTACCCCGAGACATCAATCTGAGCGATTTCCTCAAGGCTCTGCAGGCACACAGAAGGACTGTGACAGACGAGGAACTGGAGAAGTTTCACAAGTTCACACAACATTTTGGAGAAACAGGTTGACAACTGACATGTATGACAACTTCTGCAACCCTTGCCTAGAGTATAATGTATCTGTTGTTACATCTTTGAAAGTTTATATCTGTTTTCGTGTGAGATTCTGATGAACGATATAGGGTCAAATGCACGTCTATGATGGAAGTTATGGGTCATGTTCATATGCCTTACGACTACCTTTTTATGAATCTTGTTTTTCTTGATTTTCATGAACAAATACAGTAATAGGGCTCAAATGTGAAAAAGGCAGCCTTCCAACTTAAGTTGCAGTCTGTGAGCAACTATGAGCATCAGATGTTTGTAAGGAAACTGGAGCAGGTGGTCATGCTTGATAATGTTTAAAGGAAACTGGAATAGGTGGTACTGCGTGATAATGTTTAAAGGAAACTGGAAAAGGTGGTACTGCGTGATAATGTTTAAAGGAAACTGGAATAGGTGGTACTGCGTGATAATGTTTAAAGGAAACTGGAATAGATGGTACTACGTGATAATGTTTAAAGGAAACTGGAAAAGGTGGTACTGCGTGATAATGTTTAAAGGAAACTGGAATAGGTGGTACTGCGTGATAATGTTTAAAGGAAACTGGAATAGGTGGTACTGCGTGATAATGTTTAAAGGAAACTGGAATAGGTGGTACTGCGTGATAATGTTTAAAGGAAACTGGAATAGGTGGTACTGCGTGATAATGTTTAAAGGAAACTTGAAAAGGTGGTACTGCATGATAATGTTTAAAGGAAACTGGAATAAATGGCACTGCGTGATAATGTTTAAAGGAAACTGGAATAGGTGGTACTGCGTGATAATGTTTAAAGGAAACTGGAATAGATGGTACTGCGTGATAATGTTTTGAAGGAAACTGGACCAGGGGCCCATTCCACAAAGCATTCGTAGTGCTAAGATGATCGCAACTCTCATACTTAAACATAGGTTTACGATAGTCAATATTTCAGACTGTTGGTCATGGTTTAAAATTATGTTTAGGAGGTGAGGTTAAAAAGGGTTTGACATCGCATTCAAGATTATTATTAGATTAGATAATGTGTGGCTGCTTGTACAACTACAAGTCCAGATTTATAGTGCTAGCCCACTGAGATTCCATGCCACTTGGATACCCCACTCAGACAGTATACTGACTCGGAGCAAACCAATCCTTGTTTTATTCACTTAATGTCAAGCACCAGGAAAGGCAACAACAAGTACCATCTTTTAACATCTTTTGGTATAAAGAGGACAGGGAACGACATTACACTCTTCAGGCAGACCCTCTAACCACTACATCACAGAGGTGGTCATATATTTTAGAAAACTGGATGTAGTTGTATACATTTAATGTTTTGTAAGCAATTATGACAAACATAGTGACTTACAAAAGCAAGATGCTCATTTATTTATTGAAACAATATTCATGTTTTATATGTTGATATCATAAATATATTTCACAACAAATATTGTGAGCTGAAAATAGAAATATAGAACATTTCAACAAATAACATGTTAATGAATTATTGTAGAAGGGGTGTCTTCAGTACTCTTCACAACAGTTTAAACAGAACAATATCAGGCATATCACCATACACTTGGGCTGCCATGTTATATACAAAAACACAATACACAATAAGACATGTGGAAGATCACATAAACAATTTCTACATTATTACACCAGCGTTGTGCGAAAATCAGCGCTTTATTATGCCACATCAGCAATCTTCTATTTGCGCCGATGTGTGTACAGAGATGTTATCTGTAGAGTGAGTGAGTATAGTTTTACCAGAAACAGGCTTACGCATTGTACCCATGTTGGGAATCAAACCCGGGTCTTCGGTATGATGAGCGAACTCATTAAGCACCAGGCTACCCAACCTGCCCTCATCTGTTGAAGGCACATCTATATGCTTCATCATGGAGAGTATATACTAGACCTAGTTGTGCTACTGTTATGTAAAAACACAAATACATTTCGGATCTAGTGAAAAATACTTTTGAGGGTTAATAGTAATTTGACGGTTGATGTCTCAAGGGTGCCAAGTCTACCTACATCTTTGACCTATTTCAAGATATGTGTGAAGTGATAATTTGGTGAAAATTTCAACATGGGCTACTGACTCCTTATTCTGTTGTACTTCTTAGAAAAACTTGCAAGTATTAAAGAGAATAAATGCTAGTGATTCATGTTAAGAAAAAAGGTATTAAACGTGTGAGAGATATATCAAATTCCAGGTACATGACTGGCAACACCATGGTGATGACCTAAGTTCAGATTATGACAGACTACTTTCCTGATAAAGTTTCTCATGCTCCAGTCGAATTCACCTCCATCTGTGTCAAAACATTATCGTTTTTAAGTATTTAATATATGTTCTTTGGTCTTTGTATCTAGTTTGCATTACCATCATCGCCTTGATATGCCACAGATATATCTGAAACATTTTTGTGAAAGGTTACACTAGGTATGAATATTATTAAGCAGTAAACCGAATGACATCCCTCGTGTTATGTATTAATGTGCCACTGTGATCATGAGAATAGCCAATGCTAAAATGGTGGGATTGTAGGGTGAGTAAGGAACAGATTACTGCACTCATTCATGCCTGTCTTATGCTCATTCGATTCGCTTTGAAACAAGTTGTAAGATATATGGAATCTGACACACACTTGTGTAGTAATCTCTATTTTACAGCTAAAGGCTTCAAAATTATCACATTAGTTTATTCTTTTGGTCCCTTCATCATCATCATCATCATCATCATCATCAATTTCAATATCACAAAAGGCCACACAACATGGTATCTTCATGGTGATCAGGCTAAAGTTAACAGTGATGAGAGTTGATGCGAAAAGTGAGTATTGTTTTACGCCGCTTTAAGCAATATTCCAGCAATATCAAACTGGCTTCACACATTGTACCCATGTGGGGAATCAAACCCGGGTCATCAGCGAACACATTAACCACCAGGCTACAGCATGTGGTGAGAAGGGACTGGCAGGTTGTATACATGAATATATTCAGTCTTGACAGCATCTTGACATCAAAGCAAATTAATTGTTTAACAAACCATGTTTATAGTGAGCTGAATTAAACTATATCCACAAGCCATAATTACACTGGTGTATAAATGTCACAACAGTACTAAATACAATATAACAATGTCATACACAACATTACACAATACATTATAAATATATAGCTATACACCAGGCATGTGATATAACACTGTGGCAATAGACTCCACGGTACAACAGCATATACAGCAGCTCACAATAATAACAAGCACAAACTATATTTGAAATGAAAGACAGGATATTTGTTATATCAAGGACCTGGGTAATAATGTATAAAATGAAAGACATGGATGAAAACAATGTTTCTAGCACTGCAGTGGTAATTATCATGTATAGAACATATGTATATCGGAATAATTTATTACTCCAGCTATTTTGCATCTTCCAGAGGCAAGAGTGTCCACTTGCCTATCTGAAATCCAAGTTTCAATCTTTGCCATTTTAACCTTCTTTTCTGTGCTAACATATGAGAGGACTATGGCACATACTATGGTCCAATCAGAGAACGTTTAACAAAATCAACATCTGGGTTCTGAAAACGTGGTTGCAGCCATCACCTGTCAAATTTGCCCTGAAATAATTTGGAAACTTAAGCGAAGACAAATATTTTCGAAGTTGATCAAAGTTCTATCAACTCGCCCAAACACTTCTGATATTTGAGTGCAAATTTTGTTGCGTTTTAGATGTTGTTAGATGGCCCCTGCAGAGCATTGCATGTTACCGCGATGTGCAGTGATACTTGACACAGTTAAGTCTGTAGGCCTCTATTATTTAAGAACAAATTGCAGCAATAATAATAGATCCTCCCTGATGTAATGGACTATTTTCAGCTTGTCCATCGCTGATTCTCTCTCTGTTCCAAAACAGTTTGTTACAAGAAACATTCTTATAAAGGGTCCTCCCAAAATGTATGTAATTTCCTGAGCTGGTAATTTTATGTCGACCTTGTCCTGATTATTCTTTGAAACAACACAGAGGTTCAAGATAAATAACCGGGCCATAGTTTCAAAGACACAAAAATCCCACATTTTTGCTTTGTCCCATGTTATATAATCTCAAAATACTATTGTTAGGTTTGCATATTCTGCTGTGCAATATTCAAGTAATGGCAATGTAAGCAGCATTTGCAGTGACAAAAACCCTTATTGAGCATTTTGGTGTTTAAACACGATTACAAACAGGTATTGAGTATTTTTCATAAAGGTATTATTTGGTGTAAACAGCATAATATCAGACAAAGGCACTGTGTAAAGTGAGGGAGTGAATATTAATTAATGCCGCAGTCAGCAATATTACAGACAATTCATGGTAGGTGATAAATAATCAAGTGTGTTCCGGCAAACCAGAGTTTATTTAACAGCATGAGCATTGATCCACGCAACTGGGCAAGCTGACCTACAATCTGCCAGTCAGTCACACATTGCAAGCACCAGATCTCAAAGGCAAATGACCTGATTCTTCTGAACAACATTCATGTGTGGCAGTTTCACAGGCACCTTTAAATACCGGTACATGCCTACCATATCCACACATCTTACCATATCAGCAACAGTTTACTAATGAACAGGACACATCGCCTGTAGGTCTCCAGCTAGTGACGGTTCAATGGAGCTTAGTACAAAATACTACCTGGATTGTTGACCAATTGTTCAAGGAGAAAAGGAGACTGTTTTAATAATATGACAACAACACACAAACTTTTAGCAATAGCCCATCTTATATAATTCCAGAATACTATTACCATGTTTGTATGTCCTGCTTAGACTAAGTCTCTGACATGAACATATTTTACCGAAGAAAACAGCTGTTAAATTATTGTTATATATAATAAAAAAGGAGCCAAGAGACTTTGATTTTCAGATACTGCAGTAACATAGACTTGCCAAATATTATTGACTTGCATGGGCTGTATTGGGTATATTTGTTTCATGGTCTGTATGACTGTATTGCTGTGCAATGGCAATGTAAGGCAGCCTTCTGCAGCGACTAAATATACAAATTATGGTGTGCAAAAACAGTTGAAGTTGCCGAGTATCATCATGTATTGAGTATTATTATTGTCTGTTTAACTCTGCACCTTGCAACATTCCAACTATATGATGGCGGTATGTAAAGAATCAAGTGTGGACCAGACAATCCAGTGATTGACATCATCATCATTGTCCTAAACAAATGGATTACGATATGCATCAACTGAGTCAGCGAGCCTGACCACTTGATCTGTTAGTTGTTAGTATGACAAGCATGGGTTGCTGAAGACCAATTCTAACCTGGATCTTCACAGGGTTTTGAGCACTATCAATGTGGAAGGAGGGTGACGAAGGTCTTCAGACATGTGTCAGTGATATACAGGTATGGTGCTGACAAACATAGAATCATAATCAGGTGGAATTCAAATCAACCACCAGAGCTCCCTCGGCCATGCCAGGATCTTCTGTCCCTGTTATGTCTGGAGTTTTCTTGGATCTATGGTCATATCACAGCTACATCCTGCTATGGTAAAGAGTAAAGAATGTGACACTTCATGCTCAGTCTTATAATCCAGGTCATCACCATGTCTTGTCTGGAACAGTAAACTCTGGTTGAACCTTCACATTCACCACTATTCAGTCCCTCCTCACCATGAACACTTGGGAGGGATGTCACTGAAAGCACCTGTTCCTGTCTTCAAGCTCCAGACATGTCTGTTGCCACACATTGGTTGGTCCTTCAATACCATAGTTCATTAGAATATGTAGTCAACTGGCCCTATGCTGCTTGTTTGAAACAGGATCAGTAAGACAAATGCTCCGAGTACTAGGATGGATATAACATACGATGGCTGGATAGGAATGTGGAATAACTTGGCCTGCAACAAGAGTAGGATATTACTAGAACAGTTTGAACACTGATAAGGTCGGATATCACAAGGACAGCTGTAACACTGATAGGGTAGGATATCACCAGAACAGTTGCAACAGATATGGTAGGATATCACAAGGACAGTTGTAATACTGATAGGGTAGGATATCACAAGGACAGTTGTAACACTGATAGGGTAGGATATCACAAGGACAGTTGTAACACTGATAGGGTAGGATATCACAAGGACAGTTGTAATACTGATAGGGTAGGATATCACAAGGACAGTTGTAACACTGATAGGGTAGAATATATCAAGGAATGTTGTAACACTGATAGGGTAGGATATCACAAGGACAGTTGTAATACTGATAGGGTAGGATATCACAAGGACAGTTGTTACACTGATAGGGTAGGATATCACAAGGACAGTTGTTACACTGATAGGGTAGGATATCACAAGGACACACACTGATAGGGTAGGATATCACAAGGAATGTTGTAACACTGAAAGGGTAGGATATCACAAGGACAGTTGTAACACTGATAGGGTAGGATATCACAAGGACAGTTGTAACACTGATAGGGTAGGATATCACAAAGACAAGTTGTTACATTGATAGGGTAGGATATCACAAGGACACACACTGATAGGGTAGGATATCACAAGGACAGTTGTAACACTGATAGGGTAGGATATCACGAGGACAGTTGTAACACTGATAGGGTAGGATATCACAAGGACAGTTGTAACTCTGATAGAATAGGACATCACAAGGACAGCTGTAACATTGATAGGGTAGGATATCACAAGGACACACACTGATAGGGTAGGATATCACTAGGAATGTTGTAACACTGATAGGGTAGGATATCACTGGGACAGTTGTAACACTGATAGGGTAGGATATCACAAGGACAGTTGTTACACTGATAGGGTAGGATATCACAAGGACAGTTGTAACACTGATAGGGTAGGATATCACTGGGACAGTTGTAACACTGATAGGGTAGGATATCACAAGGACAGTTGTTACACTGATAGGGTAGGATATCACAAGGACAGTTGTTACACTGATAGGGTAGGATATCACAAGGACAGTTGTAACACTGTTAGGGTAGGATATCACTAGGACAGTTGCGACACTAATAAGGTAGGATATCACAAGGACAGTTGTAACACTGATAGGGTAGGATATCACAAGGACAGTTGTTACACTGATAGGGTAGGATATCACAAGGACAGTTGTTACACTGTTAGGGTAGGATATCACAAGGACAGTTGCGACACTAATAAGGTAGGATATCACAAGGACAGTTGTAACACTGATAGGGTAGGATATCACAAGGACAGTTGTAACACTGATAGGGTAGGATATCACAAGGACACACACTGATAGGGTAGGATATCACAAGGAATGTTGTAACACTGAAAGGGTAGGATATCACAAGGACAGTTGTAACACTGATAGGGAAGGATATCACAAGGACAGTTGTAACACTGATAGGGTAGGATATCACAAGGACAGTTGTTACACTGATAGGGTAGGATATCACAAGGAATGTTGTAACACTGATAGGGTAGGATATCACAAGGAGAGTTGTAACACTGATAGGGTAGGATATCACAAGGACAGTTGTAACACTGATAGGGTAGGATATCACAATGACAGTTGTTACATTGATAGGGTAGGATATCACAAGGACAGTTGTTACACTGATAGGGTAGGATATCACAAGGACAGTTGTAACACTGTTAGGGTAGGATATCACTAGGACAGTTGCGACACTGATAAGGTAGGATATCACAAGGACAGTTGTAACACTGATAGGGTAGGATATCACAAGGACACACACTGATAGGGTAGGATATCACAAGGAATGTTGTAACACTAAAAGGGTAGGATATCACAAGGACAGTTGTAACACTGATAGGGTAGGATATCACAAGGACTGTTGTAACACTGATAGGGTAGGATATCACAAGGACAGTTGTGACACTGTAAGGGTAGGATATCACTAGGACTGTTGTAACACTGTAAGGGTAGGATCTCACTAGGACTGTTGTAACACTGATAGGGTAGGATATCACCAGGACAGTTGTGACACTGATAGGGTAGGATATCACTAGGACTGTTGTAACACTGATAGGATAGGATATCACAAGGACAGTTGTAACACTGATAGGGTAGGATATCACAAGGACTGTTGTAACACTGAAAGGGGGAGGATATCACAAGGACTGTTGTAACACTGATAGGGTAGGATATCACAAGGACAGTTGTAACACTCAAAGGGTAGGATAGCACTCGGATAGTTGTAACACTAAAAGGGTAGGATATCACTGGGACAGTTGTAACACTAAAAGGGTAGGATATCACTGGGACAGTTGTAACACTGATAGGATAGGACATCACAAGGACAGTTGTAACACTGATGGGGTAGGATATCACAAGGACTGTTGTAACACTGATAGGGTAGGATATCACAAGGACAGTTGTAACACTAAAGGGTAGGATAGCACTCGGATAGTTGTAACACTAAAAGGGTAGGATATCACAAGGACATTTGTAACACTGATAGGGTAGGATAGCACTCGGATAGTTGTAACACTAAAAGGGTAGGATATCACTGGGACAGTTGTAACACTAAAAGGGTAGGATATCACTTGGACAGTTGTAACACTGAAAGGGTAGGATATCACTAGGGCAGTTGCAGTTTGAAGGGTAGGATATCACTAGGGCAGTTGCAGTTTGAAGGGTAGGATATCACTAGGGCAGTTGCAGTTTGAAGTTGGATAACTGATAACATATATGGATGAGAAAAAGAACTCAATTAGAAATAAAATACTTTGTGCTAAAATTGGGTTGCTGAAAACATCCTAAGCTAAAAATGGTGCAGTTATTAATCTTCTGCAAATTGATACAAGTACTCCAGAACTCATCATGAGTAATTTCATGAATGTGATAAAATTTCTAATATATTGAGAAAATACACAAAGTTAAAGTTTATTTCAGGTAAAGTTAGAATTGTTATCATTAAATGTTGTAAATTAGTCAATGACCGAAGTGGTTTGCATATCATGATGTGAGGAGGCAGATACTCTGCCCCGCCAATTATGATAAATCTATTTTTAGCCAATAGCCATGTCGATACTTCCCTTTTATATGTTCCCCATATCATTGTGCAGGGCAAAATAAAGGCATTATTTTGAAATTTTGTTTTCTCATATAAAGGAAAACAAATAGTGCCATGGCACTGTAGCTCACCTGGATATGCATGTAACAGTTTATAATGTCAACAAACACCACGACTAACACTAAAATGTGATGATTTAAACAAAACATATCATCATAAGAAGAAACACATTTGCCAAGGTTAAATCCTTCAGTCTAGCAAATTCAAAGAAGTTTACAGATCCAAACATGAGAGTATTTAAGAGCATGGTCAAAACAACATCAATTTTAATTTCTTTGCACAATAATGGAACATATGTGTTAAATCCCACAAGAGACTAAATAAATACCAAATTTAATTACATTTGGCCTAAAAATGGCCAAATTATGGTAACAAATTTTCATAAACTTTCAATATAGCTGCTATGGTAGCCATAGTGAAAATGGGATTTGAACTTAACAAATTCAGGGGTCTGTCATCATTGGTGAGAACAATCAAGTCAAGTTTAAGCTGGTCCAGTGGTTTCTGTAGAGATCATGTTTTACAGTGCCAGGTAATGTATTTGAGAGAATTAGGAACATGGTCTAAGTATAAAACTCAAATAAAAATAAAATTTCAAATATTGCTAAAAACAGAACATATGCTGCTCACCCCTCCTACTGAGAAAATGGCTGAGATATAGCCATTGATAGTTTTTCAATATGGCTCCTGAGACGGTCATACTGAAAATCAGATTTGAACAAATTGCGATGTCATTATTGGTTGGAACAAGCATGTGGTTTCTGAGGTGAGGTGAAATGAGGTTTAACATCTCGCTCAAGAATATGGATTGAACTTATATAGCGATGACTTGCACATTTGTGTGTTTGTGTGGCTGCTTGTACAAGTCGGGACAAATGCCGATTTTATAGTGCTAGCTCACTGAGATATCATGCTGCAGTTTAACATGAATACCCAACTAAGATGCAGTATACCAACTTTGAGCCGACCAGGCCTTGTTTTTCCCCCTTAATGCCGAGCTCCAGGCAGGGTGACAACAATTATTATCTCTTTAACATCTGGTGGTAATTGAACCCTTGACCTTCCGCTCCATGGAGGTGGTCATTTCTGAGGAGATGTTATGTTCTGCATGAAAGATGCTGGACAAACAGATCATGACATAAGCTCACTTGACTTTCAATCAGGTGAGAAAGAAAATGAAAGGAAACATGGAATTCTGATCCTGCACTGTTAACGCTGAGCAGAACAGAAGAAAAGATGTTCTGTACCTTGAGGTTTGTGTGGCCAACAAACAAGAGAAAGGAGTCCAGATCTAGCTGTGAGTTGTTCTTGTAACCAAACACTCGCATCTCCAGAGAGATTTTCTTTATTCTCCGACACACAGAGTTAACTCGTGCTGCCTGCACACAAACCACATGATCAAGTTATACCACAATCAAGCCAAACTTTGAGTAAGTAAGACTAATTGCTGTATTCGACGTAATTATGGCCTCCCTCTAATAAGCGGCCACAGCATTATTTGCTAATATATTGGCTAGTGAACAATCCCAATTAGCACCCCTTCTGATTGATCAATGTACACAAGACTTATTTATTCGTGTATAATACGCACTCGTGTGTTATATGCACCCTTAATCATGGGCTATTAAATTCTGGAAAAATATATCTTTTGTACTCAGGCTGTCAGCATAAACCACGAAATATATCTTTCAAAATAGTATTCTAATAATACTACTGGGCGCTAATTACGTTGAATACGGTAAGTAGATATTCAAGGAAAGAATAATCTATAGGACTTAGTTATCTGAATTTGTGCCATGTAGTGTTCAAGTCTTGTTGGTCTCACAGAGAAACATATACTAGTCAACTTTTGATAGGGATTATCAGTTATGTCAGATATAGTTATATTTACACTTGGACATAGTATGATGTTTGTTTGTTGTTTAACGCCTCACTTAGCAATATTCCAGCTAAATGATGGCGGTCTGTAAATAATCGAGTATGGACCGGACAATTCAGTGATTGATATCATGAGCATTGATCCATGCAATTGAGATACGATGACATGCATCAACCAAGTCAGCGAGCATGACCACCCAATCCTGTTAGTCGCCAATAATGCCTCTAATGACAAGCATGGGTTGCTGAAGACCTATTCTACCCTGGATCTTCATGGGTCCCCTATCCACTAGATCACGGGGGCGGTCTCCGGGCAGATGCCCTGCCCACTATACCACGGAGATGTCTATTATACTCTAGTGCCCATTACTATACACAAGAAAACTCAGTACCTGAAACAATGGAAAACTGAGCATGAGTGCCCAGATGACCGGAAATATACTTCTGTACGTCCACACCTTCACTGTGTTATACTTGTTCAGGGCCAGGATGCTAATACCTGAAAAAGGAACCAGCATATGGTAAATATATCAACAGGTTATAACAAAAACGCTAAAGGTGAAATATGTTCATCATTTCAGGGAAAACCATACAGAAACATACCACAAATAGAGATTCTCTTCACACAACAAAATAAGAGCCAAAAGGGCCTGTAGCTCAACTGACTTATGAAGTTATAATTATAAAATGCTTCTATCCTACTTTGGTACAAATATTTATTGTGAGTTTAAGTGAAATTGGTGCAAAAGAGCCTGGGGGAAAAAAACAAGTATTTCTGCAACATCGTTTAGGACAAGTAAAAATGTCGAGTTCAAATAGTGATGCTTTGAACAAACCTGGATCTTGCAATAGTTATTACATTCACACAAACTTCAAACCTAGTCCCCAGTGGTTCTAATGAACAAGATTTTTAAAGTTTGTGTAACATTTTACTATTTCAATAGTTAATAATAAATGTACAATACAAAATACTCAAACTGATTTGAACGAGACAAGATGTCTTCGTAGGAAGGAACCTGCATGACAAATTTCAGCTTCAGTCAAGGAGGAACAGAGGAGAAGGTATCTTAAGAGCATGGTAGAAGTGGAAAGTAATCCCTCACAAGAAAGAGACCCCACTTTGAAGTGTTCCAGGTCCCTTGCATCAATGGCAAAATCTGAAACTGTCCAGTCAGCAGGCCTGTGTTTTTCCCCCATTTGACTAGTTACCCAAAGCCAAAAACGCTGGTCTGCCGTCTGTATGGGCATAGTTGAAACTTGTTTTGCAATTTTCTCCTATATCAAAACGGTGGATGGTGACACTTTGCCTGGACCATCCTACTGACAGCCTCTCCCAATGTGGTTCGAACGATTTCTCTTGGAAGTCAAGTTTAATTTCCATGGAAGCCACATATGAAGACTTATTGCCATTGTTCCCCAACATACGCAAATAAATTGATGAAACATGATGGCAGACTAGTGTGTGGTAGGGTCTCATATAATTTTTCCAAGTTTGTCCCTAATTTGATTTTCATTGTCCATGACCACATTATTACTTTGGTAGCGTTCGAAATACCTGCCTGCCCGACCGTCCGAGACGGGTTGATTTCAACTCGGGCTGCCAGAATTTCAAATCCCCCTGCCCGACGGTCGGGTTATATTTCATAGGTGAAAATATTCCAAATATTTCCTGATGATAAGCATTAATTCACATGTAAAGATGAATGATAAAATGTAACCAAAAAGAAACCCCGTTAGCTTTTAGACAACCTAACATTTAGCGATGTACTTATGCTACAAGCAATCAGTTTTCATATTTTTAATTAAATTATCCTGAGAAACATATGATTATAGTGGGCAGGCAGGTTTTGGTCAGGGCTGGCAAGTATTTCAGCTAGCCAGTCCTGTGGTCTGGCTGAAATTTTTGGGAGTTTCATACCCTGACTTTGGTAATCGACTATCATGTTGTAAAGGTTGAATCAAAGTCAAAATTCATAATACTGCGAAATATGTGACACAGATGTTTGACCCACAACTAACACATGCCAAATATCGACAAATGTCCGAATGATTCATGAAAGTGTTTTCTAAATCTGGTTGCTGGGGTGGCCTTGTTTAAAATTGGATCGGAATTCTGTGAGCAGTTTTTAGCAAAACTATAGGTGGGATCATTCATACACAGTTTCAGCTCCATATACAGTAGCTCTAGAAAAACAAGGGATGTGAGAGTCAAAACTGGATCCAAACTCAAAATATGCAAAAAAAACAGCATATATGTAATTCTGAAAAGCACATACTTGCTGCATATTTTATATCAGGAATGGATGAGTTGGCGGACAAAACTGACATTTTCAATATGGCTGCTTTTCAATATTGGATCGGACATTCTGTATGTTTTAGAGACACCATAGCTGGGATCAGGTCCATACGCCGTGTAGTTTATGAGGAGGTAGTTTCAGAGGAGATGACGAGAATGCAAAAATTAACACCAGAGGGACGACTCGCCACAACATAAGCTAAAAGTACAAACTGCAGCTCCGATATGAAAGAGCACCAATGTGGCAACATGTTCACAAAACAAATGTTTATATCAGATAAATCTGTCTTTACGCTTAAAACATACATCGTATTCTGTATTGTTCTAAAATCGGTAGTGCTAATTCATAACTTAGATTGTTAGTGGCTGTACCCTCAAGTGGGGTTGAAGTAGCGTAAAATTATTGTTCCCCTAAGAGGGTATGTAAGTCCCACATCTTTTGAAGTATTTTTATGCATGCCAGAATTTTAAAACGTCGAATTTTCATCATTTTAATATGCGGCTTAACTGGTGACTGATGGGATATAAATCCAGCCAGGGTTCATGCAGGAAGCAAAGGCACTGTAAGTCCCCATGGTCCCTGGTATGGTGATCTCCCTTTAGTTACTGACGATCTCTAGCCCATTTTTATATTGTGTTGTTAATTCTTTCTGCTTTTAAATGTTCCTCAACTAGTTTTAAATAGACTCTGTGATATTCTAGTTATTGAACTCTCCTTTGATGACAGGTTTTTATAATGTATAAATATATGTATTATCAATGTACTTCCCGTCACGATATGGCTGAAATACTGCCGATGTGATGTTAAATCTTAACTCACTCAACTCACTTGCTACATCATATTCAAGTAGTCAAGGAAAATGAAGGCCAAATCAAGGCCCATGAACTGAGAACATCAACAAAATATATTAATGTTGAATACTTCGTTTAGCATCACCTGATGGAACAAAAACAATCAAGTCACTGACTAACACCTAAAATCTTTTTCCTTTTGAAGAGACAGGAAGTAAGAGTGGGTAAGCGGATCTGTAGCTGTCCAAACATTCTAATAAGGAATTTACCAAGGAAGATAAATAATACTGACACATAAATTTCTACTTGTTATTGGGTCGGAAAAGTTGGAAAAAAAGTTGGATTTTATGAATGCTTCTATCAATCTGACGTAAATGTCCCTGCCATACCTATTATAGTGAGCTCTCCCAGGATGACAGAGGTGAGAGATGTCATCTTGGATATGCTGCCATTCAACATACTCAACGTCTGTCTCAGCATGAGAACATCCTTAAACAGAGAAACATGAAGAGTGTTAGTAAACACAAGGGGTCCCAGGTCAGAATACACCCGTGAACATCCGGGGTAGAATAGGTGTTCAGCAACCAATGCTTGTCATAAAAGGCGACTATGCTTGTCATAAGAGGCAACTAACAGGATCAGGCTGTCAGGCTCGCTGACTTGGTTGATGCATGTCATCGCATCTTAATTGCATGGGTCGATGCTCATGATATCAATCACTGGATTGTCGGGTACAGTCTCGATTATTTACAGACTGCGGTCACATAACTGGAATATTGCCAAGAGCGGTGCTGAACAAAAAACACACAAACTAAACAAAGGTCAGAACAGATCACTAGTACATCCTTCAAATATTTCCCCTTGGCGATTCCAGAGCAGGACAGGTCCCCAGTACCCCCTACAAAATTTCCCACAGGGATTTCACGTCAGAATAGATCACCAGCATCCCCATCAAATATTTCCTCATGGTGATTCAAGGGCAAAACAGGCCACAGCTATCCCCTGCAAACATCCCTTTGGGGACTTTAGGGAAGAATAGGTGCCCAGTGCCGCAAATATGTCACAAGAGCTGACTGAAGTGTTTGTTTGTTGTTTTAAGCCGCACTCAGCAGTATTCCATCTATATGACGGCGGTCTGTAAACAATGGAGTCTGGACCAGGCAATTCAGTGATTGACATCATGAGCATCGATCCATGCAATTAGGATGCGATGGTATGCATCAACCAAGTCAGCCTGACCACCCATTCCTGTCAGTTGCCTCTTACGACAAGCATAGTCGCCTTTTACAGCAAGCATGGGTTTCTGAAGACCTATGCTACCCCAGATCTTCACGGGTCAGTTTTCAAGTTATGGCTCGGAGAGTAATATACTCTTAGTGATGTAAATGAAGGGAGCTGTTACCTTCATGGCTGTACGTAGGTCAGTGGACTTCTCCTGCAGCCGTAGCGTCAGACCGCGGACAAAGAACAGAATCATCTCGCACTGTGTGGCGTAATTGACAACCACTGCAAGATTCACCGCATTGAGAACCATGCGGCCCACCAACTCAAACACAAACAGGATCCAGTGACACTCACGCCTGCAAGAAACAACACAGAATACACATGCAGAACCGTTCCAAGAGGCATCAAACTCAACTCACTCACTCACTCACTCACATAAACAGAAGCACATTAACACAAACTGGATCCAGTGACACCCTCAACAACCTGCCACGTGAGTGAGTGAGTTAATGAATGAGTTTGGTTTAATGCCACTTTGAACAGTATTCCAGTTATATCATGGTGTGTTAGCTAAAAGTGGGAGGAAAGACAAAAAAGATACAGATTCAGGTCTAAGACGCTTATTACTTTGGTGAAACCCACACGCACAGGTATGGTGCTGACAAACTCATCAATCTACAATTCCAGGGGTTTGAATCCAGAATGTGAACACACGATCATAAGTTCCTGGCATATCTCACGGAGGCAGCTTTGGGAAGCTTAGACGAGTTGGCCACAAAGTACCAACAGTTCTAAAGAAGAGGTACATCCAAGTCTCCACTTACCCAATCTGCTGGAAGATGGCGAGCCCCGGGAAGTTGAACGCCCACACGTACAGACCTTGTAGACACAGGGTGAGCAGCACCCAGATAGTTCCACAAGCCAGGAAGCACCTGCATACACACAAAAACATCCTCAGATATTGGGAAGGTGAGTCCGTGCTTCTTAAACCTTCTATGGTCCATATTCAACTATGTTCGATAGCGAATTAGGAAATACTCCAATATGACTTGTCAATCAGAGGTTTCAAATCACGATAAAGCTTTCGGTTCCAAATTAAAATAAGAGGTATCTACTCTACAGTGGGACTACATCAAATTTCAAAACACAGTAGGTTTATCTCCTAAATGATTCGTCAATCAGGTTTCAAATCACAATAACCTCCCTCTGATTGAAACAGATTGTGTTTGACTATCACAATGTAGAAAAGTACTTCCTTTTCAATCAGTGTCAGTGGGCGTTTTGAAATAATATGTCGAATGTTGGTAACAAAATGCTGAGTCGTGGTAAATACAATATTAAAAGTATGTGTGGCAATTCATTTTGGGCAGGAAACACAATAGAAATTGATTAAGATTGTGTATTTTTAGGGACGATGGAAATCTTGAAAAACTTGGTGCTTTCTATATCCGACTGTGACATCATATTTTGTGGGTCACGATGATGTCACACAATAGGAAGTCCGGTTAGGAACTGAACTTTGCAATGTCTGCTTATTTTGATATAGGAGCCCGCGTCTTGCTGAAGTAGCGGTGTTTCCCACTCTCAAACATAGGTATATCCAAGTAAAGAATAATGATGTAGACAAGCATGAAACAGCAATGGTACGAGGAGATGAGTGCATCTCAGTTGTGTTGAGAAGATCATAGGGAGCAGTGGTTATTATCGGCTGGACTGGTGTTTCCAAAGTTTTAGATGGAAAAAATATTAATTTTTTTATAACAAATTGATATCTCATGACCTCAGGTGAATTGTTTTTTAGAGACTTGAAACCCTATACTCATTTTAGTTGACTTATCTTGGTATTGAGTGAGTGAGTGAGTTGGACTTAACACCGCTTGTAACAGTATTCCAGTTATATCACAGCGTGTCAGCTTAAGCGATGCAGGTCTCAGATGTTTACCACTTTGGTGAAACCCACAAGCAAATCTAGAAACATAATCGGGGGGAACTGGGATTCGAGCCCACAATCATAGGTTTGACCTAAATAAAGATTTGTAGGGGTGCAGAGTTGTGCAATTCCCCCTTTTAAAGCTTACTAATCTTCATGATTATTTAGTGATTGTTTAAAAAATTTAATAAATTGACCAATTTTGGCTAACAAGTGCAAATTGTTCCCCAATATTTCTATTAAAAAGATTAATTCCTAAAAGCTGTATTCATGCTTGCCCTCCTATTTGGACAGCTCTTTGTACATGTATACAACCTTTTGTATACAGACAGTTGTATCATCATCACATTGCATCATCGGCATCATCATCATCTGACATACCTTAGTTTCCTTATCATCTTTTTCTGGGAAGCTGTCCGGCTTTGCAAAGGTGTTGCTTGTAAAAAAACCTGGATAAAAACACAGCAAAACTCCTTAATGCTGAAGATGTGATAACAAACATTCTCACGAAGACTTCATAATGGTTGTGCTGTTAGGCCTTTAATTAGCATATGCATTCGTTGTCGTGGAGAAAAAATAATAATGTCAGTTAGGCAAAAAAAATAAAAGTTTTGGTTCTCCAGCACCTCCCGCATCATCATAAAGTCTCTCGCACGTTTTGTTTTAATTTCCATTTTGAAGTTAAAAAAAAAAAATCCTAATACTTAAAAAAATGTGATCAAATATAGGACACAGTTACTTCCCTTTACAAGTTATGGTCATGGCGGCAATAGGAGTGTGTATGCTTGTTTATGTAGTAAGGCCTTTTCCCAGGTTGATGGTACACAACTGTTTATTTGGTTACTTACTAGTTTAAACAAGCCAAAAGAAATAAACACCACCCACCCGCATTCCTTTTTTAAAAGTCATTGACCGAAAAACCAATTCTTTTATTTTTTAAAGCCTTACAATTAGCGTTGTATGAATACGGGATTTCAAAACAGAGAACAAAATACAGATATAAAGGAGAAATTTCAACAGTCCCTCGGAATTCATTCTTAATGTATCCCCATACATACCTTCTCCATGAGGGCGTACAGATGTTCATTGTCGTGGATACGGAAGTAGATAAATCCCATGATGTATGCTATGAAGTGCAGGAAGTTTGGGATGACGTAGGTTGTGATGACATGCTCGCATGCTAACGGGGGACTGTCTGTCTGGGTCAGGTTGGCCTCCACCGTCTCGGCCGGGTCGAGGGGATAGAGCGGAATGTATTGTGTCGTGGTGTTGGTCTCGTTAGACGGCGGAGTTGGTCTTATTGTTACGGCTGTAGTTTTGGAACTCTGAAAAAAAGACATCGATAAAAAGAAGGTTAAAAAAGATCTATATAAAATGAACAACATTAAATTAATAAATATTTTGTAATTTGTAAGGGCCTTCAGTGTGACAAGTAAAACACAAAGGAACCTTCAATAGCGCACCCTGTTGTGTGCAGATGCCATGGCATGCACAGACATCAGGATGTATAAAACATCCACAACAATATAATAGCATGCCAATATTTTTTGCATTCAGAACTTCCTTATTATATCTGTTTTCAAGACACAAAATCAGATATGCTTGTCTTAATGCTTCGCGCACTCGTAACAAGAATTTATGAGCCCAGACACTGATTGGCCGATTAGAAATTCCACCTGAAACGACCTCCAATGGTGTCCTCAGATCTCCATGAAGAGGTGTGTGTGTGTGTTTGTCGCTTAATGCCGCACTCAAGGAACATTCCACCTGTATGATGGCAGCCTGTAAATAAACGAATCTGGACCAAACAATCCAGGGATTGACACTGCGATCAGCAATCCAGGACGTCAGGGTACAACCAAGTCATCGATGTATTTGGTTACCTTTCCCGACCAGTAAGTTTACAGGGGACGTGGGAATGCCAACATGGCCCTACTTGTGGGGAAATTAGGGGCGGTCGGGTAGCCTAGTGGTTAAAGCGCTCGCTCGTCACACCGAAGACCCGGGTTCGGTTCTGGACATAGGTACAATGTGCGAAGCCCATTTCTGGTGTTCCTCTCCATGATATTGCTGGAATATGCTAAAAACTGCGTAAAACTATACTCACTCACTCACTCACTTCGGGGAACCCTACCTGAGTGTCCTTCTTGACGTCCAGCTTCCACTCACAGGCCACCATCTCGTAGATGTAGGTGTACAGCAGCAGCAGGATGATGAGCACGGGGTAGACCATGTTCAGGACCTTCCACCTCCTTCCGCCCGAGTTGATAGACTCACGGCCAAACCCTCGCCACCCAATCTGAACACAATCCACACATCAAAACACTGGGTCTGCCACTCTGGAGCAAGTGAATGTTGTTTAGCACTGCAGACAGCAATATTTCAGCCAATCATCTGAAGAATCAAGTCTGGACCAGGCATAGTAACTTTCTTTGTTTTCACATCACACTCAGCAATATCCCAGCTATATGCATCTTGCCAAGGCAAGGGAGTTAATTGACTATAAAAGTCCAGTTTCCACCCTGGCCGAACTAGGCTGGTATTATGGAGTTACATTTTTGCTGGACTTACGAGTCTATGCATAGTCCAATCAAAATTGCGCTCTGAAATCGAAATCCGGTTCGTAAATTGTCATGCAGATTTTGGTTGATTGCAGGATTTGCAAAGCATGTGCACCGCTAACTTGTCAACAAATATTTTCTAAATCTTTTCATGTTTTTAATCAAGGTGCTCACATGATTTGATGCACTTCGCGATGTAAGACTCGTTTTATCACAACATAAATCTTGATTATCGATCAGATCGTCTTGACTGGGAGTGATTACTTACAAACATGAGCAGCATCCAATATGGCCGCAGCACTAACTGTTTGCACTTCCTGAGTGCACTGGTGGTCAAGTTGAGACTTCCTTCTCCAATGTCAGAGATCTACAACATGTAGCAAGTCAGTGACTGAGTCAGTCTGCCTGGGGGTGTAGGTTGTGCTGTAAGTGTGGTCAAACAATGAATGAAATATATGTTTGTTGTTTAATGCTGCACTCAGCAATATTCCAGCTATGACGGCGGTCTGTAAAAAATCGAGACTGGACCAGACAATTCAGTGATTGATATCATGAGCATCGATCCACGCAATCCATTAGTCGTCTCTTACGACAAGGATAGTCACTTGTTACAGCAAGCATGGGATGTTGAAGACCTATTCTACCCCGTATCTTCATGGGTCACATGTCATCCCACACACATTCTTACTGCAATGTTTAATCCACACAAAACTGAAACCATGATGTTTTCAAGAAAAATTAACCCAAGTCAAAAACCTGTTCTTAAAATGAAAGGTACTCCAAAACAGGTCTCATCGCACAAACACCTAGGTCTAATTTTACAGCAAGATGGCTACTGGTCAAATCATACAGATAACATAGTAGATAAAGTAAGCCCAATGATTAACTGCTTTAGAACTTTCAAATACCACCTGTCCAGAAAAACGTTACAGAATATATATTTATCAAGTATTTTACCAATATAAGACTATTGTGACCAAGTATGGGATAACTGTTCTCAAGAACAAGCGTTGGTATTAGAAAGGCTATATTTAGACGCACTGAGAACAACATGTGGAGTTACTCGTGGTACCAGCCACGAGTCTCTATACTCTGAAACTAACCTTACACCCTTATCCAAAAGACGGCAATCTCATAAATTAAAAACATTTTACAAACTGGTTAACAAGTTGGCCCCTGAATATCTATGGAATCTTGTTCCTCCTAATGTCTCAGCGGGCGCACGTTTCAATTTAAGAACGTCTTCACAGCTACAGACTGTAAATGCTAGAACAGTTAACTACCACAAATCATTTTACCCGACACAGTGCGAATGTGGAATGAATTACGGGATAATGTTCAGTCAAAATATACTATAAATGACTTCACTAAATGTATCACCAAGACAGAAAATCCTAAAATATTTGGTTTAACTTAGACTATGGTACCCGTTTCTGTCAAATCATCCATTGCCGCCTCAGATTAGGATGCAGGGATTTAAATGCACACAAATATCTCAGACATATTCATGAGTCAACTACCTGCTCCTGTGGATATCATCATGAGGATCCTACACATTACTTCTTTTCATGTTGCAACTACTGCAATCTTCAGAACGATATGTACTACTGTATAAAGGGATACGACTTGGATTCAGTATTATATGGAAATGCTACAACATCTACTGACACTAACCTTACTATTGTACAATCTGTCCATTTGTTCATTGTAAAACCTAAAGATTTAAAATTTAAGTGTCTTCTTTACCATTACATCATTCAAATAGTTGTTTGTATGTGTGATATGCTGGTATGCTGTTTGTTTATGTACCTTTATATGTATGTGTGTATTTGTTTGTGACTTGTATATCATCATAATATTTGCAACAGTAGGAACAATTAATCTAAATTTAGTATTTTATGTACAGTTTCCTCTTATTAATTATTAAATGTCCTTTCTAGGGAGAGGTGTTTAAATAGGTTTAACCTGTTCACCAATCCCATTCCTTTTTTTGGAAATACATTTTGTTTAAATCAAGTACATGTAGCTCTCATTTATCTACTTAAGATTGAAAGTCTACCCTCAGATTTATAAATCATCAGTTTGAATGAAAACTGGTTGACAGACAGACACTTTAGGCTCCTGTCGTTGCCACAAGGATTTGTGGGGTGCTTACCTTGAGGGCAAACAGTGGGAGACAATAGGCTTTCTTTGACAAGAGCAGTCGTTAGCACAGTCATATAAGAAGGCTGTCTGATTGAGGAGCTATCACGTCTCTTATCAATGATAGCAAGTGTGAAACACTTCACCTATTAACTGCAAGAACATCTTGTGAACGAGAGTTCTGCTGATGCCAGGGTCCTGTATATTTGATATAACCGTATTCGACGTAATAAGCACCCCGCTCTAATATTTGCTAATATTTGCTAATATATTGGCACGTGAACAATCCAAATTAGCACCCCTTCCTATTGATCAATGTAAACAAGACTTATTCATTCGCGTATAATACGCACACCTGTGTTATATGCACCATTAATTATGGGCAAGTAAATTCTTACAAAATATATCTGCCGTACATAAACATTTCAGGCTGTCAGCATAAACCACAAAATATATCTTTCAACTGTTTTTTTTCACCAAAATAATATTTTAATAAGAGACCCTTATTTCTAATTTTGAGAGCGCCCTGGGTGCTTATTACGGGTGAGACATGGCCGCTAGTCAGTCTGAGACAAGTGAATACTTGACAGGACTACTTTGTCTCCTATTCATTAGGTTATTGAAACTAGTGTAAGTTGAGCTTATCTCACCATGTTAGTCATGGAGTTTTGTAAGTTGGGCTGATCTCACCTTGTCAGTCATGGAAACTTTGTAAGTTGAGCTCATCTCACCATGTCAGTCATGGAGACTTTGTAAGTTTAGCTTATCTCACCTGTTAGTCATGGAAACTTTGTAAGTTGAGCTTATCTTACCATGTTAGTCATGGAAACTTTGTAAGTTGAGCTTATCTCACCATTTTAGTCATGGAGACTTTGTAAGTTTAGCTTATCTCACCATGTTAGTCATGGAAACTTTGTAAGTTGATCTTATCAAACCATGGTAGTCATGGAAACTTTGTAAGTTGATCTTATCACACCATGGTAGTCATGGAAACTTTGTAAGTTGAGCTTCTTTCACCATTTTACTCATGGAGACTTTGTAAGTTTAGCTTATCTCATATATATAATATCGTTTAAATCATGCCCACTATTTGTGTCCATTCACAACTTGTATGTTTATAGGACTCAATATTGACCCCTTTGGTAAAACATATGAGTGAGTGAGTGAGTGAGTGAGTGAGTGAGTGAGTGAGTGAGTGAGTTGGGTTTAACATTGCTTCAACAGTATTCCAGTTATATCACAGCATGGGAGGAAACACAAAGTGATGCAGGTCTCAGACATTTACCACTTTGGTGAAACCCACGAGCATGGGTATTGTGCTGACTAACCTAGAAACACATACTGGGCGAAATTCGAACCCACAACCATTGGTTCCTAACATGACAAAGGCACCCAATTCACTGAAAATCAGATCTGAATTGTAATTATTCAGGCCAAGTTTCAGCTTCACATGTCTTGTAATTTCAAAGCAGTTGTCAAAAACAAGTAAATCTGCACTGATACAAATCTCAGATGTTTAGCATTTTGATGTAAATTGTGATTGATATTGTGAACAATGATCCACATCGGGGTCAATGCTTCTCAATCAACCAACGTCACCGGGCCTGACTATTCGATCCATTTGGTACCTCTAGGACCAGCATAGGTTTCTGGGGACCAATTCCAACCCGGAATCCCCACGGTAAGAATGGAAAAGGAACTTACTGACATTTGCAATGACAACTGACTTTCTGCCTCGTCCGTGCACATGGCTTCCGCGCATGGTACATCCACTACCATCTGTGTGATACGAGTACTCACTACAGGCTGAGGCAACTGATACAGTTATCAGTGCAGGTCAATGTCAAATGATAGAGTGCCCCACTCTATATCTGAAGTCTGGGCACATCTCATGGCTGACTGGTGTGACACATACGTCATCTATCTTGCCAAGAACACAGTGGTCAACTTGACCCAATGGATTTCAAAGCTCAGTGGACCAAAAAACGCTTGCTCTCTGGACATGTTACGATAAAGAGTAGGGCCGTGCACTACATGAATTTTATACCGAAGTATATAGTGACGCTGAGGTTTGCATTGTGAGACATATTGCAACATATTGCCATTGACATACTGCTTTCTTCCACTTTTGAACTGCGCTTTATTTTCCTAAGACTTAACTAGCACCATATGTACGCATATCCCACTTTGTAGGGGACCATCTCATAGTCGCAAGGCTTGGCCTCCATTAGACTGACATTTAGTCCCAGAAATAAAGTTGTCAAAATTAAAAATATATACCAACAAAATAAAATTCAAATAGAGCCCAGAAAACTCCTTAATAAAGCTGAGGCAATCTAGACTTGCCAAATCATTCTAGACATGAGTTGGGACTCCTTTTTCATTATTGTTCTCTAGGGTCTGGGAGACAGTCTAGGCCTCCATAGTAACCATAGTAATGCCTAATCAAGGGAGGTAACAAAATAACAACAGCAGTGCATCCTTGAAATATTATTTGTCTGAGATTAGCTGTATCAGGAAGATTTGTTTCTTCCATTATGGTTAAAACCAAAGTAATACACTTATTTCTAAACACATAACCCATTTACTCCACAAATTGCAGATTTGTTTGTTTGTTTGTTTGTTGTTTAACGCCGCACTCAGCAATATTCAATCTGTATGATGGCGTTCTGTAAATAATCAAGTCTGGGCCAGGCAATGCAGTGATTGACATCACGAGCATCGATCCAGGCAACTGGGATACGATGACATGTATCAACCAAGTCAGCAAGCCTGACCACCCGATCCCGTTAGTCGCCTCTTACGACAAGCATAGTCTCCTTTTACGGCAAGCATGGGTTGTTGATGGCCTATTCTAACCAGGGTCTTGAAAATGTATTGTTGAAGGTGTGTATGACAGAGGATGCTTAAACCTGGGAACAAATGAAAAGAGACATTGTTACCTCTACTTTCACTGCACTTGTTGTCAATGAGGAGGAGTTGGAGTAGAGTTCCTCGGAACCGTACAGCTCCTCCTGAATTGTGGCTGGAATGCTGCTTTGAGATTTAGGAGGTGATGGACCTCTAGATGTCGCAGTTGTCCCCCCTGTGTGGGGGCAGTCGTGACTGTTGGCGACGGGCATCACGAGAAGGTAGCTGCGGTCGTCAGTGAAAGATCCGGGAATGAAAGGGTCAGGGTCAGAGCCCTCTTTGGAGATTTTCTCCTGAAAAATCAAACAAAACAAAGAATCACTTGAGTGAGTGAGTGAGTTTGAGTTTAAGAACACTTTGAACTGTATTTCATTGCATAATGTTAAAAATCTATTTCAAAAATTATTTGGAAAAGTAGAACTGTCATTTTTTCATGGCAACCCTTATAGTCGTGATAAGTTTTGGCAAACCCCCTCATCCGCTGTGTCATCTTTTCATGATGCCTCTCCCATACCCTTAATCCAGGTTCTGAAATGTCTATGGGGCACAACTAGAAACGGGTTTGCCCCCCGTAACCTCTCATAGATATTGAGGAAACTGATCTCATTATTCAACCTTGACCTTTGACATAAGCCCAACATGTCTCAAGGGCAAAGAGGTTGTGGTGTATCAGTCACAAAGTCCCTACGGCAATCCTTTTTCCAAGACTGGTTTACAGATCAACCCAAAAAAGAAAATTGAAAGTGATAAAAAAAACACAATATGTGCAGAGGTTTTATTCCATCATCTGCAAACTTTTATTTTGACCAAAACAAATATGAATACAACAACAGGACTGATAAACTAATTTGACGAAGCTTGGCGCACATGCTGATATATTTACCTGTAAACCAAGATGAAAAACAAAACAAGAAAGGCTTGAAATGACTTGCTTAACATGTCCTTATGCCAAAGTTGTGATATTTGAGGTGAATGTGGTTTGTGTCATGACTGATATCTTTGCACAGTACTAGGGCCAAAATATTAACAATAGGTAACATTAATATCTATAACAATTCAAGGAATACTACCTCTATTACATTAGAGCACGCACGCACGCACGCACGCACGCACGCACCGCACCGCACGCACGCAACTTTGTTGGGGCGGGGGATAACAAATTTATGTGACCAGGGTGCAACCTGGTTTTGCTTGGTGCAACTTGGTTTTCATGTCAGCATGCAGCTGGTGCAAGTTAATGAAGTTCTTTAAGTCGAGCCCTGAGTTGAGATACTGATAGGTGATGCTGAAATGTTGAACTTGGGAACTGGTTGTCCACAATAATTAGAGTTGAGGTGTTGAAACGTTGCATCCAAGATTATTGCACTTACACAGTGATGTGCATGCACGTGTATGTGTGTGTGTTTATTGCACTAGTCCGGTCTAATGCCGATTTAATAGTGCTAGCCCAATGAGACACCATGGTGTTAACATGAATACCCCACTCAGACACAGTACACACTGCAAGCCAACCAGTCCCTGAATACCGAGTGCCAGGCAGTGTAACAACAAATTCCCGCTTTTATATCTTTTGGTTTGACACGTCCGGGGATCAAACCCTGGATCTTCCACCCTCAGGGCAGACGCTCTTACACAAGACCACAGAGGCCTCCTTAATTAATTTCTATGGCTTGTGTGTGTTTACAGATATTTTAACAGAAAAAAGAGTAAATTTGTTTTGTTTTTTTCCTACATTCTCAATGTAACACTGAGCCGGCCCTCTCACTGACTGAGTGAGTGAGTGAGTATGGTTTTATGCCGCTTTTAGCAATATTCCAGCAATATCAGGGCGGGGGACACCAGAAATGGGCTTCACACATTGTACCCATGTCGGGAATCGAACCCGGGTCTTCGGCGTGACGAGCGAACGCTTTAACCACTAGGCTACCCGACCGCCCCTCTCACTGACTGACACATCAGGATGCTGTTTGGTGAGACTTATTTAAATGGGGTTACAAATTTGGCCAAGGAGATGAAATCGGAAAAGGAATTAGTTTTTATTCTGAAAAACATCCCAAATGCAAACTTTTGTGTTCACGATAACAAAGTTGTGTTTACAACAGGATAAGCTTCAAGACAATATGGTCCCACAATTCTGAATTTTTGTTTCACAGGCCCGTACTGAAAAGCAGCCGGTCTAAGAAATAAACTACACAAAAAAGTATCTACTTTTATTACGTGTCCTGCTAGTTATATAGACCCTCTTTTACATTACAAAATGTTATATATAAATTCCATGTGTACATCACGATCAGTGATTCAAGAGGCCACCTGCAGTTTTACTCCACGGCAGAATGACTCTCATAAAAATATATTAACGATTGACATCTATTTTTATCTTATTTCGACCCACCCTGTGCTGGAATAAATCTGTGAAACGTGAAATGACAAAAGTGTGGCCTAAGTTTTAATAAATAAATAGTGAGAAAAACTTAACTTAGCTCAATTTACACAAGTTTCAATTGGTGAAATAGTGAGAGAAGCTCAACTTACAAAGTCTCCATGACTAAAATGGTGAGAGAAGCTCAACTTACAAAGTCTCCATGACTAAAATGGTGAGAGAAGCTCAACTTACAAAGTCTCCATGACTAAAATGGTGAGATAAGCCCAACTTACAAAGTCTCCATGACTAAAATGGTGAGATAAGGCTCAACTTACAAAGTCTCCATGACTGACATGGTGAGATGAGGTCAACATACAAAGTCTCCATGACTAAAATGGTGAGATAAGCTTAACTTACAAAGTCTCCATGACTAAAATGGTGAGATGAGCTCAACTTACAAAGTCTCCATGACTAAAATGGTGAGATAAGCTCAACTTACAAAGTCTCCATGACTAAAATGGTGAGATCAGCCCAACTTACAAAGTCTCCATGACTAAAATGGTGAGATGAGCTCAACTTACAAAGTCTCCATGACTGACATGGTGAAATGAGGTCAACATACAAAGTTTCCATGACTAACATGGTGAGATAAGCTCAACTTACACTAGTTTCAATAACCTCATGAATAGGAGACAAACTAGTCCTGTCAAGTATCCACTTGTCTCAGACTGACTAGCGGCCATGTCTCACCCTGGTTTTGTCCTGCAAGTCATCAACGTGTGAAGTAATATCAAATATACAGGACTCCAGCATCAGCAAAACTCTCGTTCACAAGATGTTCTTGCAGTCAATAGGTGAAGTGTTTCACACTTGCTATCAATGATAAGAGACGTGATAGCTCCTCAATCAGACAGACTGTGCTAACGACTGCTCTTGTCAAAGAAAGCCTATTGTCTCCCACTGTTTGCCCTTAAGGTAAGCACCCCACAAATCCTTGTGGCAATGACAGGAGCCTAAAGTGTCTGTCTGTCAACCAGTTTTCATTCAAACTGATGATTTATAAATCTGAGGGTAGACTTGCAATATTAAGTAGATAAATGAGAGCTACATGTACTTAATTTAAACAATATATATATTTTTTTTTTAAAGGAATGGGATTGGTAAACAGGTTAAACCTATTTAAACACCTCTCCCTACAAAGGACATTTAACAATTAATAAGATGACTGTACACCAAAATAGAATATGTACTTGAGTAATTGTATGCATTATGATGGCCATAGCGAGGTCGATATATCAGGGTACATTTTTAACCAGAGAGAAAGGGAACAATTATTGAAATCATTGGTAGGTTAATTATACAAATTATTTCTTTGAATTTATTGTAAAATGCAGGTCATGTAAGTTCTTGTCTTAGAGATTGTTTTGGCCCAAACAAAATTCAGGATCCAAAATAAAAGGAAATAATAAAATATTGATTTGGGGTTTCCTTCAAAATAGATCTGGGAAATATACAAAGATGTTTAATAAAAAGACTTTTTAATTTCTCAAAATGAAGGAGAGCCTTTTCCTTAAACAAATAAGACAAAAAATAAGCAGTGCTCACTAATAACCCTGACCTCTCCTCCAACATATTTCTAAGTTTAAAACATGAAAAATATCATATTTTTTCAGAAAATACACATATATAAATCAAACTTTGCACAGCATCTCTTCTATTAGTATGGAAACCGTTGCCTAAATTTGAAAAAAATCCATGGAGTAGTTTTCAAGTAAATGGTCGCAAAAATGTACAAAAAATGAAAAAAAGCTGTATTTTAGCCAAAAATCCAAATATTCAAATCAAACTTAGCAGTGCACTTCTCCTATTGGTATAGAAAGTGTTCACCAAGATTGAAAAGAATCTATGAAGGACTTTTCAAGTTATAGGCCGCACACGAAAATGTCCTCGGAAGGACAGAATTTCGTTACATTGATGCAATTTTTTAATTCTGAAAATGCAGTTAAAAATTACGTTACTCGTCAGCTTTCATTATTTGTAACAACTTCCAGTTACTTATACGTTATCTTTAACCCAACAATTTATATAAATCGGGAATTCACTCATGTGGTCCTTTTCACTTTCTGAATTTGTGCAAAACAGAAAGAACGTCCTTCATCATGGTCTCAACATTTTGCCAATGTTCACCAAGGACAAAATCATACTACTCAACTTTGATAAGGATATTCCAAGTGTCCAGTTTGGGACTGACAGAGACTTATAGTTTGGATGTGTTGTCATACTGATAGTATCTGAAAGTGCAGTGGAACTGACTCATGTTTAGCTTCATGTCAAGTTGATTGAACAAAAGCACATGATTAAAAAATATATTGTATCCTGGTACATTTTGTACCAGGAAAACAAATTCCAGTACCTCTATCAAGTGTTGAGTATCATATGAACATACAACGGTCAAGCACTTTTAGAGTCCCCACAACGACGAATTTGGTTCCATTTCTACAGAAAGTCAGGAAATGTAAAGTATTTTTCCCATCTTTAATTAACATGGAGCCCTATGGAAGAATGAAGTTTCAAAAACTAACTTGTAGCTGTATGAAGAATGAAGTTTCAAACTCTACCCATGGCCACGATCACTTGACAGTAATAAGTCGGTCCGCTCACAAAGCCCAATGTCACCCTTGCCCTCAACCTGCCCTCAAATTTAACATTTAACAATCCATTGTACATCCATTCCAACCTACCTTAATCTTCATGCATAGACTCTTCACGGGATCGATGAAATCAACAAACAAGATAACCTATCATGAACACAGGGCTGATACAGGCTCAGTGAAGATCTTTGATATTGTCGCAGCTGAAACACAATACCAGCATCATGTTCCCTCCAGCAACTGACCTACATCTCCATCTTCATCTGACCTACATGCAACCTGGACACCAGGACTATCTGCCACAATACAACACACATTGCAGTTCTGGATCTATCTACCACAGTACCACACACGTGGACAGAGGTTTACAACAGCACAAATCCTCCAAAGATATCCACTTCTTTGTTGACAAAATATTTTCAGTTAAAAAATGAAACTTTCTATAGGAAAGGTGCGTATCTTCAACCTCCACCCTTCTAATGAGTATTACACCTGGTTGTTGTCAGCCTTAAGTGGTGAGAGTGCGATTAGTCCAGCATGACAGCCTGGGTTTGTACTGTACCAGTACAGTCACAGATATCACCCGGGTGTTGCATGTACAGTCTCATCACAGGTAATCAGATGTGGCCTATATCTAATATGAGGACGTGACATATTGAAGATGACGTATCTAGTTACAATAATGCAAATGAATATATCTTTGTGGAATAATTATTTCAATGAAAATAAATGGTTTCCTATAAAATATAAAATTATAAGATAGCTATATGTATCACTGTTCTATCACTGTTCTATCATTGTTCTATCATGATGTCATTTCTAGGCATTCGAACATGCACTCACAACTTGACAACATACTATTTGAGAGGGAAGTGTCCGGTTAGTTATTCCCCATAGAGGTAGCTGGGCAACACAGATAAACACAATGCCGAACAATCTCATGGATTAAACACTCCATGCCAGTGTCATGTGGAAGGAATGTATGGATTAAACACTCCATGCCAGTGTCATGTGGAAGGAATGTATGGATTAAACACTCCATGCCAGTGTCATGTGGAAGAAATGTATGGATTAAACACTCCATGCTAGAGTAATGTGGAAGGAATGTATGGATTAAACACTCCATGCTAGAGTAATGTGGAAGGAATGTATGGATTAAACACTCCATGCTAGAGTAATGTGGGAGGAATGTATGGATTAAACACTCCATGCTAGAGTAATGTGGAAGGAATGTATGGATTAAACACTCCATGCTAGAGTAATGTGGAAGGAATGTATGGATTAAACACTCCATGCTAGAGAAATGTGGATGGAATGTATGGATTAAACACTCCATGCTAGAGTAATGTGGAAGGAATGTATGGATTAAACACTCCATGCTAGAGTAATGTGGAAGGAATGTATGGATTAAACACTCCATGCTAGAGTAATGTGGAAGGAATGTATGGATTAAACACTCCATGCTAGAGCAATGTGGAAGGAATGTATGGATTAAACACTCCATGCTTGAGTAATGTGGAAGGAATGTATTGATTAAACACTCTATGCCAGTGTAATGTGGAAGGAATGTATGGATTAAACAGTCCATGCTTGAGTAATGTGGGAGGAATGTATGGATTAAACAGTCTATGCTTGAGCAATGTGGAAGAAATGTATGGATTAAACACTACCATGCTAGAGTAATGTGGAAGGAATGTATGGATTAAACACTCTATGCCAGTGTAATGTGGGAGGATGGGTATTACGCTGACAAACAAAGAATCATATTTGGGAGAGTTTTAGATTCAAACCCATAATCATAAGATTCTGGCACACTCAAGGGAGGCAACTCTTCACAGAGTATACACGGCTGCCCCAGAAACAAAAGCAAGTCACATAAAATAAGGTAAATCAACAAAACTTTTTAATTTAAATTAATTTAAATTATGCTGACTAAGACTTTACAATGTGATAATGTTTAAACAATAGTATGTCATTGAACTTGCAGGTACTGACATGCAAGATAAGTAAGAAGGGCTGGCTAAAATATGGTTAATCAGAATCAACAAAGATGGGAGGTAATCTTAATGATTATTGATATGAAAATCGTGTCATCGATAAAAACTTATATGAACTATTGTGATGACATAAAGTTTACATTTACCAAAACAGACTTGTTATTGTCAACCAGGTCAATATCTGAGGATGGAAAGCAACTGTTTTTGTTGTCTTTGATGTCCACAAAGTAATCCATGCATAAGTGTGTCACCATGCAGCAGTGGTGTGAAATATGTGGATTTCTTTTTGACATTTTTGCATATTTGCTCAAAGTTACCTTTATGATATATATTGAGAAGTGATCGATATTAAGTTAACCATTTTCAACCTCTTTGATCTATATCGATAGCCAACACTACAAATAGGTGCATGAATGTTGTTTTAGGCCAGTCAGTAATACTGCATCATGTCAGTGAGTGAGTGAGTATTGTTTTACGACGCTTTTAGCAATATTCCAGCAATATCACGGCAGGGGACACCAGAAATGGGCTTCACACATTGTACCCATGTCAGGAATCGAACCCGGGTCTTCAGCGTGACGAGTGAACGCTTTAACCACAAGGCTACCCGTCGGCCCGCATCATGTCAGTCTCTAATCAATCAAGTCTGGACCAGGCAAACCAGAGGCGGGCAGCATGGGGCATAGATCCACACTGATCCACACTGATCCACACTGATCCGCACTGATCCGCACTGATCCGCACTGATCCACACTGATCCGCACTGATCCACACTGATCCGCACTGATCCGCACTGATCCACACTGATCCGCACTGATCCGCACTGATCCACACTGATCCACACTGATCCACACTGATCCGCACTGATCTGCACTGATCCACACTGATCCACACTGATCCGCACTGATCCACACTGATCCGTCACAATGACACAATGTAGTTTAATGTTTGTTTAATGCTGCACTAAGCAATGTTCCAGGCATATGATGGCGGTCCATTAATAATCGACTCTGGACCCGTGAATGACATGAGCATCGATCTACGCATGTGGAATATGATCACCTGCATCAAGTAGGTCAATGAATCTGACCACCCGATCCCTTTAGTCGCCTCTTACGACAAGCATGGGTTGCGGAAGACCTTCCAACCAAGATGTTCATGGGAGGAGACACTGAGACACTAAATATTGTGATGAAATATTTTCCAATTAAAAGTGTTGTTTTTCACAAACTTATGGGACATAATAAATTGAGAATATTGTATAAAGCATCAAAATTTTAATAACAAACAGGCCTGGTACTGCAGTGTTTCCTGGTGGAAGGGTTTGTGTTGCAGAGGACAGTAAAATATTATTCTTGAGTTTTGATATTTAAATTATTATGTGTTATTTAACATGAAGGCTAGGAGAAAAGATTTTCTAAATGTATACTTCTTTTCTAATTCATGGTTGATGATTAGTCAATCATCAGTTGCTTTTTCAAACCAAAGATAATTTATGAATTTTTACACCATTCCAAGAACTAATCTCTATACTCTGTCTTACCTCTCACAAATACGTGACAGATACTACTTATCACATTATTGACTACCAGTTAAAAATAAGAACGACAATATCACATAACAATCTGATCACCTGACCTTGACAATAACACATCTTCATGATGAGGATATCAATGGGGTGGAATTACAAGAAAAAATATTTCAGTGCCTTATTCAATTTTCAAATAATTTATTTTATGTTTGAACATTCCTTTTGGCAACACGATTATTTCTCCATGACTTCAGGATTTCTTAATTATTTCACGAATGTGTAAAATTGTTTCAGCGAAATTTTTGTTCTCCCCTCTGTAGCCTCGCTATTTCTGATAGCAGGTTCATTGACCTTGACCCGCCCACACAGCTGATGAGCAAAGATCAGTCTCCTTGTATGCATGCAAGAAGCATGAAAGATACATTATACACAATGTAGTATGACACTTGGCACGAAGCCTTACAGCATGACACTGTAGTATGGCACATGGCATGAAGCCTTACAGCATGACACTGTAGTGTGGCACTTGGCATGAAGCCTTACAGCATGACACTGTAGTGTGGCACTTGGCATGAAGCCTTACAGCATGACACTGTAGTATGGCACTTGGCATGAAGCCTTACAGCATGACACTGTAGTATGGCACTTGGCATGAAGCCTTACAGCATGACCCTGTGGTATGGCACTTGGCATGAAGCCTTACAGCATGACACTGTAGTGTGGCACTTGGCATGAAGCCTTACAGCATGACACTGTAGTATGGCACTTGGCATGAAGCCTTACAGCATGACACTGTGGTATGGCACTTGGCATGAAGCCTTACAGCATGACACTGTAGTGTGGCACTTGGCATGAAGCCTTACAGCATGACACTGTAGTATGGCACATGGCATGAAGCCTTACAGCATGACACTGTAGTATGGCACTTGGGATGAAGCCTTACAGCATGACACTGTAGTATGACACTTGGCATAAAGCCTTATAGCATGACACTGTAGTGTGGCACTTGGCATGAAGCCTTACAGCATGATACTGTAGTATGGCACTTGGCATGAAGCCTTACAGCATGACACTGTGGTATGGCACTTGGCATGAAGCCTTACAGCATGACACTGTAGTGTGGCACTTGGCATGAAGCCTTACAGCATGACACTGTAGTATGGCACATGGCATGAAGCCTTACAGCATGACACTGTAGTGTGGCACTTGGCATGAAGCCTTACAGCATGACACTGTAGTGTGGCACTTGGCATGAAGCCTTACAGCATGACACTGTAGTGTGGCACTTGGCATGAAGCCTTACAGCATGACACTGTAGTATGGCACATGGCATGAAGCCTTACAGCATGACACTGTAGTATGGCACTTGGGATGAAGCCTTACAGCATGACACTGTAGTATGACACTTGGCATAAAGCCTTATAGCATGACACTGTAGTATGACACTTGACATGAAGCCTTACAGCATGCCACTGTAGTATTGCACTTGGCATGGAGTATTATAGCATGACACTGTAGTATGACACTTGGCATAAAGCCTTATAGCATGACACTGTAGTATGACACTTGACATGAAGCCTTACAGCATGCCACTGTAGTATTGCACTTGGCATGAAGTATCATAGCATGACACTGTAGTATGACACTTGGCATGAAGCCTTATAGCATGACACTGTAGTATGGCTCTTGGCATGAAGTATTATAGCATGACACTGTAGTATGACACTTGACATGTAGCCTTACAGCATGACACTGTAGTATGGCACTTGGCATGAAGCCTTACAGCATGACACTGTAGTATGGCACTTGGCATGAAGCCTTACAGCATGACACTGCAGTATGGCACTTGGCATGAAGTATTAACGCATGACACTGTAGTATGACACTTGGCATGAAGCCTTATAGCATGACACTGTAGTGTGGCACTTGGCATGAAGTATTATAGCATGACACTGTAGTATGACACTTGGCATGAAGCCTTATAGCATGACACTGTAGTATGGCACTTGGCATGAAGCCTTACAGCATGACACTGTAGTATGGCACATGGCATGAAGCCTTACAGCATGACACTGTAGTATGGCACTTGGCATGAAGCCTTACAGCATGACACTGTAATATGGCACTTGGCATGAAGCATGATCACAATTCACATATATACTTCAGCATGAGTGTATTGTGAAACAGTGTGTAGTATCAGTCTTGAGTGACATACTAAAGTATGGCAGTGTAACTGTAGGATAACACTGCAGCATGACAATGTAGCACCAATCTTTAGCGTGACACCCCTTCTTAATACATAATCACAGCCATGACAGATATTTCCCATGTGTTCTGAATGGTGGACAGCCTGCGAAGTTAATTAAAAGTTTGCGAACTTTTAACCCCTGGGTTTGTGCAAATTTAACAAATATATGTACATCATAATTTTTTCATTTTGTGTTGTCATAATAATTGCCCTGGAATTGTGGAATGAAGAGGACAATTGTAAAAGTTTATAATACCATAACCCACAAAAATCGGACATTTCAATAATAGAATAAAGCAAGTCTGAATTATTACCATTATAAGTTAGGACATAATCATAATCATCAAGTTAAAAACAAATGATTCTACAGACCCTTGATAAAAGTATCATAACCTAAGAACCAAGAGGAAATATGGGTTAGATTTGGTATTCAGCAACCCATCCCTATTGTAAGAGGTGACTATATGCTTGTCTTAAGAGGTAATGTGATCGGGTTGTCAGACTCGCTGACTTGGTGTCATTGTATCCCAATTGTGTAGATCAATGCTCATGATGTCAATCACTGGATTAACTGGTTCAGGCTTGATTATTTAGACCGCCGTCATATAGCTGGAATATTGCGGATCGATGCCATAATGCAAACAATGTGTCATAAACCATTACCCAAACTCCAAAATCTGATTACTTACATAAATTTCAATCAAACATGACAGATTTCTGTGAATTCATCAATATACATTTCAATAAGTTATGGTTTGTTTGTTGTTTAATGCTGCACACAACAATAGTCCAACTATTTGATGCCAGTCTGTAAATAATCGAGTCTGGACCAGACTAGTCAGTGATTGACATCTTCAACATCAGTCCACGCAACTGAGATATGACATGCATCAACCAAGTCACTAAGCCTGACCACCTGATTCATTCCGTCGTCTCTTAGACAAACATAGGTTTCTAGGGACCTTATTTATTACCAGAGCTTACCAGGAATCCCAATAATGGCCATTGGCATACAGCTTAGTGCATAGTTAGGTCCAAGCCAGAAAAATATAGAAATATCAAGTAAGACGAAATTTAATTTCAAGTAATGTCAATCTCAATTTTGCCCAAAAAAAACACATCCTATTTATTATATAAGTGTTCTGTCTTACTTTCACTTTGATATATTGCGTTAAGGAATGCAAAGATTATCAGAGCACCTTCAGAATACAGTACCACAACTTCCCGTGAGGATGATCTCTGCCGTAGGTCACATGTCTCAAAGACAAGCAGCCAGTTTTTGTGAGAAGCCGTCGGACGCGAACCCACGACCCTTTGGATTGTTAGCCCGACAGCTAACCGACTGAGCTACGTCCACACTGTGAAACAAAGTGCAAATTTACCTAGTCATGCCTAGGACGTTACGGAACTGAACGAAAAGGGTCGAATAGGTGACGTCACTTATGAAGGTTACGGGTAGGCATGGTGTCTCGTGACTTTAGTCTACTGACACTAACGAATGATCCCGATGCCATTTGGCACACTCGTCCCATTCCGTAATCTACAAGATACCGGGTGGTGAGGAATGAGCCGATATGCCGCAAACTGAAAACGGCTCCAGGCATCAGACAGCAGACGTCGAACTCGCGAGTACGCATGAATGATATGGTATTTAATAATCCGTCAGGTTATTTTTGTGACAGAAAAAGTGTGGTAGGGAACACTGTAAGGATGATGTGGATAATATTAAGAAACGAGGGAGGCATGAGCATGGCTAGTGACGACACAACGGTGAGTTCACTTTGAATCAGTACTGAAGCCGGGTGAAAGTGGCTTGTGTGAGTGTTCCAGGACAGTTTCCAGTAGCCAAAATAGTCGACACAAGCCATTGCATCCTTTTTACTCGACATTTTTGTGTGAAGAACATTAGGAGCCTCTATAGAATCTACAACAGCCACTAAACGGGTACCTAACCCTAATGATCGTAAAGGGGATCCAAGGGCTAAGGATAGAGTTCGGGTAATCTAATAGCCACTGAATGGGAACCTAACCCTAATGATCGTAAAGGGGTGATTGACCGTAAAGGGGATCCAAGGGCTAAGGATCGAGTTCGGGGTAACCTACCCTAACATTGGTGACATTTGGAGTTCAGTGATATCACTAATAAACTGCATTATTGTGCATAATAATGAAAATTAATGAACCGGAAAAATAATATATGTATATTAGTTCCCATATATAACCATTTTAGCTACTTGAATTAGGAGAAATACGAAATAAAAAATATATAAATAATAAAAGTGCTTTTGTAAACTAGCACTTGTTCTAAAATGTGCCGCCGCATGCTATATTTCGTAAACAAATATCCAAAACTCTCAACACCGGTGGGCGTATTCAATGACATTGCGTGTAGAGATGACAGATCACTGGGAGGAGCTTATGCACACTCAATGACCCCTGACGTCACAGGGCATTGTTTCGCCGGTGTGACTGGCAACAAAATACTACAAATTACGTCATAGGGTATTGTCATGTGTTTGAAAAGTTTGTGGTACTGTATTCTTAAGGTAGGCCAGATTCCGCCGTCATATAGCTGGAATATTGCTGAGTGCGGCGTTTAACAATACACAACAAACAAACAAACAACAACATGATGCAAAATGAATGTATTCAAAATGAATGACTCATTCTGTTGGGCGTTTCTCTAATAGTCATTGTCATGCGAAACTAATTTTAGGTAAGCATTATAACTGTCGTATATTATTAATAAGTTATATTTGCATTGCAGCATTACCATCACTAACGTGACATCCACGACAGTAGTCTTCCTCCATAATTGCACGTGCGGAATAAAACAAAGTGAGAGTGGCCTTCCCTTCAATGGTTATCTCGACAGATGGCGCTGTCTTGAATTTGATTGGTCGAATCTGAATTTTGGACCAATCAGCATTGAGACTGTACTCGCGAATTTCAAACGGCCCACGACACTAAGAAGAAGATTGTTTACAGTGTGTGAGAACTTTTGAGGGAATATTTTTGGGATCTCGAAATTGTTCACAACATTGCTGGTTCATGTGCGTTAATCTTAAGCAGCCAAGTTTTACCAGAGAGAAACTGCGGATTTTCGACCGTCGGCTTGCCCAAGAATGAACAAGAGGAAAGACCGAATTTTGAGATCAAAGGCAACAATGCCGCTTGATCAGGTGTGTATGGTTTCATTAGAGTGAATATTTTGCTAAAAAGATGCGTTTTATTATGCATTGAAAAGTTGATAATGTCACCGTAAGCATATGTGAATTAAACGAGAACTAGTTTTATGGCTTAGTTAACACGTTTGACGGCCTAGAATTGGCCCCAAACAAAACCGTATTTTTTCCCCATTTTTGCGAAGATCATTCAGTATGATTCGGTCCACGACAATGCAAAATCCGTTTGGAAACAAGAATAGCAAACTAGAAATAGTTTAGATATACTTATTCCCATTCTTAGCAAGGCATCATGAGAACAAATGCATGCATAAACTGATAAATGTACACTGCTTTGAAAACCATAAATACGAACATTTACACATGATCACAATAGGCATTTAATTAGCATTATTTACAAGCTATGTAACTGTTGAAACACCCTTATGTTTACCATATAGGTTACCTGAACTACTAAATTATTTGTCTAGAGTAGATACAGTGTGTTAGATCAAGATATTGTGAAAGGAACCTGGGTACTGGCGAAAAAAACCATGTCCCTTTTCTGCAAATTGGTGCAATAAACTGTCTCATTACTTGAAACAAAGGAATTATCTGAAGAACAATTACATTGTTTTTATAATGATAACTTTGTTGACATGATGGTTAAGTTAACATAAAGACTGGAAATCTTTTTCATAAGCCTGAAAGCAATGATAAGAAGGCCTTGCTCATGTTGTTTAATTGATAATGATTTGATACATCATCTTAACCAGGAATTGATTTTGATGGTTTGAAGTGTTTCACAATATTTTACGATGCACATGGCCATATTTTGATACGTATCACAATATATTGTATGATCATGATGATTCTAAAGTTTGAATTCAAAAGCAATTTGAAACACCATGCAGTGTATGATTTAAAGTTCATAAATGGAACAAAACAAGATGCTGGTGCAACATAATGTTTCCTCACTCAATAAATATGCACAGATGCACACTGTGCATATTTGACAAGTGTATAAACGATAAAAGTAAACACTTGAAAAAAATTGCTATTTGAAATCCCTTGGTATACTGAGCATTACAAAATGATATTGTGATGCATATGATGGAAAGAATGAACCTCAATTTACTGGTTTACCGATAATACCATAAACCCTTAATCATAAATAATAAACATTTGATTTGTTCTTCATACACTTATGCTTATCATGCATGTGAAACATTACTATTAGTAACATTGTTTTCAATTTCAGATTCATCATGATAGCACCAGCAATGCTATGAACATGGGAGTAAAGAGACATGGCGGAGTTCTCATCGACCCCTCACTCAAGCGCAGAGCTGCATTTGGAGACATCACAAACGTTAGTACATTCACACATGAGTTGTACATGTTATAACTTGTAGCTACTCAAAACAGACTGTGGTTAGTGGTGTGTCTATATACGACAACACATCTGTTTTCATGCGCTAGGCACAATGCAAACAATGCTTTCAGTTTTAAGCTAAAAATATAAACATACCTATTTTGGACATGATCAACCTCATTAAAATCAGATCTTAGTTCTCGCTACTGCTATAAGGCACTAGTTTCAAACTGGCGACTTCCATTCCAGACTACATTTTGAAAACTCTTTTGACGATATACTCAATTCATAATCTGAAAATTGAACACAAGTACATTCTGGAATAGATGGCCTAGGTTGTGTGGCGGTACATCCCACGTGCTATGTGAAGTCTCTTCCTTTCAAATGTTTATCCCATGGAAGTGAGAGGCTGGACCAGTTTGATGGTTTCAGTCATACGGCCTGAAACTGTCGTTTGGAACACCCTGTGTTAATCTTTTCAAGGTTGTGTGATTGAAAAACACATTTGGACTGTCACTTACCTGATCTGGTAAGTGACGTTCTGATTGGTCCTGTTTGTGTGTTTTGGAATGGTAAATATCTTGTATTAGGAATAAACACTCTGTATTTATTTTGCCAGGGCTGTGAAAATCCTGGGTAGAATAGGTCTTCAGCAACCCATATTTGCCGTAAATGGCGACTGTGCTTGTCGTAAGAGGCAGTTAACAGGATCGGGTGGTCAGGTTCGCTGACTTACAGAACGCCGTCATATAGCTGGAATATTGCTGAGTGCGGCGTTAAACAACAAACAATCAATGATATAAAATGACATGACTGAAAAAAACTGTTGAAATAAGCATTAATGTTTAGTCCCAACTCTGACACTCCAATGACCCACACAGTATATAATGTAAAAATAAGATCAAATTCCTGATGAATCAGTGACAAAGAGACATGTTGGCATTCTAATGACCAAAGATGGATTAATAAAAAAACAACTGCTGTCTGGTATGTAATCGTTATGATGTATGTCATATAATATATCATCGGATATGCATGGCCACTGGTCCAGTAATCCATTAGTCTGAGACTAGTGAAATTGTAGAGGAACCTTTTTTTTTACATGAAACGACTAGTTCGAATTAAGCTCGAGTAGTTTGAGATGACAATGGTCTCTACCTCTGTAAGAAGAGATGAGTAATCAAAAAGTATCTTGAAACTATTTCTGACAACTTGTAATTTGTACATCAATAACCCACATAATTCATCTTTGGGCTGATTGTATTACAGGCTGTGAAAGAGAACCAAGGTGGAAAAGATGGACAGAAGAAAAAAACAAGTTCCAGCCAGAAGGGGCTGAAAGCAAGTCAGGGGAAGATACCGGTCGTGGAGAAGTCTCGACCAAAGCTTCAGCCAGTCACAGAAGACAAAGAGAACAGTTCCAGCTCTGAAGAAGAAGTCATCACTTTGTCTCAAGAGGTTCTGTCATCACAAGACTTTTCCTCACAGAGGTTGGTACTGAACAGCATAAGATAACAGTAGTCCCTTCTTACAAAGCAGTCACCATACCTTTCTGGCTAGGGTTGACAAATTGGATTAAATGACACACATGACAAGTAGAATTTGGTGGTCGAAAAAACAAGTTTGCTTTGTATATTTTTTTTCAGTGATAAATGTATTTGCCATTATTTTTTACTTATCCTGCATTACTACGTTTAAGGATGCATTAAGGAGTAATGCAGGATAAGCATGATACGTATACAAATGTAAAAAATATTTATATTTTACTAAGTTTACTGAGCCAAAATGTTGTCTTTTCTTCAAGTTCAATAACCATGATAAAAGTTCTCTCAAACATTTATGACTTTAATGGAGAATAGGTGAAGTTTTATGTGCCACTTGTCATGCATGTTCTCTTGCAAATCGATGTATTATGGATTTGTCAAGTCCTCATCCAGGTATATTTGGGAGCCCACGTTATCAGAACTATCTGTTTTTGTTGGGTCGTTATGTAATGTTATACCACTGTGGGGATACAAGTAGCTGCCCGGCATGTCATGATGGTATTTATCAATGACTTGTATCATCAGTTAGTTACAGACTGATTTGTTTTATCAACTACTTACAGACTGTGACATGTCTTATCAACTATTTACAGACTGCTGCAGTATAGCTCAAATATCAATATCAAATCAGGGCGGACGGGTAGCCTTAAGGTTAAAGTGTTTGCTCGTCACGCCAAAGACCCTGGTTCGATTCCCGACATGGGTACAATATGTGAAGCCTATTTCTGGTGTCCTCCGCCGTGATATTGCTGGAACATTGCTAAAAGCGGCATCACATCAAATCACTCCCTCAACAAGTCTGTAACTACCTTCTTTCATTCCTTCTTTCAGTTCAGGGTCGAGTGAAGCAAGCAAGCACCAGAGATCCATATCTGAGGAGATTGATGAGCTGGAGCTGCTGCTGGTAAGATCAAGACAGTGAGAATATTCTCCCAGCTACAAGCAATTACACATTATCTGTCCCCATTTACTTGTATGTTTCCATCTTTTCAACATTAATCCATAATTCCTAGTTTGCGAGTAGGTTATTCTTGTTATTTTCAATGTTGGAGAAAATTTGGATAAAATGTGCAGGCACCAGCTCATTGTCTTGTTGGGATGAAATCTCATTGCTTCAAAGAGCGCATCTGTGGTCTAGTGGTAGAGCTTCCGCCCGGAGAGAGGAATGTCCGGGATTCGATCCCGATTGTGTCATACCAAAATACCTTAAAAGATGGTACCGGTACTTGTTGTTACCCTGTCTGACGCTTGACATTTAGGGGCTAAAACAAGGACTGGTCGGCTCGGAGTCAGTATACTGTGTCTGAGTGGGGTATTCATGTTAAACTGTGGCATGGTATCTCAGCGAGCTAGCACTATAAACTGGCATGAGTCCGGACTAGTACAAGCAGGAAACTATCATGATTTCTAATCCTATTTGCAAATGCCTTTCAACCAGATCAGATTGTGGCACACACTCACATTTGAGGGATGAATGGACATGTTTTGCATGCTCAAGGATCCAGTGTATCTCATAGAATTGAAATATTGTAGCACTGGCAAGTTTATAATAGTGAACACAATGTATGACTGTTGTGGAGTGTTCAGCATGTGTTCAGTGCAGGATTCACCAGCTACTTGAGCTTGGTTTTATATATGTTGTCCTATTCTCTTATAAGGTAGGAATGTTCGCAAACAATCTTCACTGCAAGTCTTATTGGAGTACAGAAGTATGCACGTTTGGATGATCAAAACTAATTAAACTGAAGCATACACACAAGATTTATCTGATATTTCTGTTCTGATAGCTTACAGTCCATGTTCGGACAGTCCATGTCAGAGTTTGATTCAAACCAGGAAGTGCCCATACATCATATGCATACAGCTTCACAGAAACCTTTTATTTGCTGTTGGTGCAGTGGGATATTCTTTCAACTACAACTGAAAAACATGATATTTTTTTATAAAGACTGAGCAAGATCATTTTTTTCCCTACAAAACACATTGCAAAAATGTATTTTTTTTCAATTTCTTTCTTTTTTCCAACAATACGAAGCTTTTATTTTATTTTTTCCAAGGTTTTTTGGGGGGATTTTTTGTTTCCAAATATCAAACAGTTGGTTCCTAAGACACCTATGATTTATTACTGATACTGTGAGTCCAACACTCGAATATATAGAGACCAAGGTAAATCACCGGCTTGTGTTACAGGAGGAGGAGCAGATTGATGATATTGACAAGGAGAACCTCGGAGACCCTGCACAAGCCGCTGTGTATGCTAAGGACATCTTTGAATATTACAAAGAGAGAGAGGTATGAATAAGCCTCAGATCCCCTCACCTTGAATAAGCCTCAGATCCCCTCACCTTGAATAAGCCTCAGATCCCCTCACCTTGAATAAGCCTCAGATCCCCTCACCTTGAATAAGCCTCAGATCCCCTCGCCTTGAATAAGCCCCAGATCCCCTCACCTTGAATAAGCCCCAGATCCCCTCACCTTGAATAAGCCTCAGATCCCCTCACCTTGAATAAGCCCCAGATCCCCTCGCCTTGAATAAGCCTCAGATCCCCTCACCTTGAATAAGCCTCAGATCCCCTCGCCTTGAATAAGCCCCAGATCCCCTCACCTTGAATAAGCCCCAGATCCCCTCACCTTGAATAACCATCAGATTCAGTGTCCTTGTTTTCGCATATTGACCTCATCAAGAGTAATAATTTGTTTTGTTATACTTTAGGTTATTAAGTCTATAAACCATCCAGTTTCGTTACAGTAACTTAGATGCAAACCGTAAAATGTTCGTAACAGTTGCCATCTAGTTTTCTAGCAGACAAGTCAATATTCATCACGTGACAGGTCAATACTGATCATGTGACAAGTCAATATTCACAATCATTGTCTGTCATATGATTTCGGGGTCTACATGTGGTACAGATTAACCAAAAGAATTGCAAGATTCTTAATTGGAGGTATAACAATACAGAAATGTTGACAGTCTGATGACTTGACTGTGTGTTTCAGCTGAAGTTCAACATCGACCAGTACATGTCTCGACAGCCCCACCTGACTCCCAACATGCGGAGTATCCTGGTGGACTGGCTGGTGGAGGTTCAGGAGAACTTCGAGCTGAACCACGAGACCCTGTACCTCGCCGTCAAGCTGGTGGACACCTACCTGTCACGCAAACAGATCCTCAAGGAAGTACTGCAGCTGGTTGGGGCTGTGTCACTCTTCGTGGCTTGTAAATTTGACGTGAGTTGGTCAGCTGACATGTTGAAGCTTGAAACTGTATTATACAGTTTGTTAAAATTTTCTACATACATTGACATTGTTATAGAAACATTTTGTTTCAAAAGTGGAGTTATTTCTCCTTTTACAGGGTCACATTTTGCAAACAGAAACAACAGAAGTTTTTGTGATTTGTTGAAAGTTCAACTTCAATCTTCATCAATGTTGCTACACTGTAACATTGTGACATGACATCCCACTCGTCTAAGAAGTAATTAACTTTTCAGTGTTGTGTCCCTTGGTTATGCCAGGATCTGCTGATTCATGTATTAGTCCGATTCAACTTGATAATTATCAGGTGGCAGAGCTGTAAAGGTTTTCTGTTATCAACTGGTTTGCATATCCAGATTTCGTACTTACATACCATTGGTGTGATATTGGTGAATCTGGCATAAAACAACATGCACTCACTGTTTGACCTCATTTACTACATGTTGAAAGTATGGTTCACGTATGTGTTGTACCGACAGGAGCGCTGCCCACCCCTCATTGAGGACTTCCTGTACATCTGTGACGATGCCTACACTCGCCAGGAGTTTATTCAGATGGAGATGAACATCCTTCGCATCGTTGGCTTCGACCTTGGCATGCCCCTATCCTACAGATTCCTCAGGAGATATGCAAAGGTTGGATTAGCTACTCAGCAAATCACTGGTCACCTGTTTTATAGAATTTGAATTATAGATTATGAGACTTAATAAAAAATATTTACCCGTGAGATCCGGGGTAGAATAGTACTTCAGTAACCCATGCTTGATGTAAGAGGCGACTAACGGCATAGGGTGGTCAGGCTCGCTAACTTTGTTAATGCATGTCGTGGATTGATGCTCATGATGTCAATCACTGGATTGTCTGGTCCGGACTCAATTATTTACAGACTGCCATCATATAACTGGAATATTGCTGAGTGCAGCGTTTAACAACTAACAAAATATTAAAAATATTATATGAGCTGCCTCTTACCCTAGTAATTGTCAGTGGCCGCTGGTGGCCCAGTGGTATCAGATGCACTGTTGTGCACAACTCACTGTGGTTCTGGTCAGAATCTGTTGGTGATAGGCTCAAATCCCAAGTTTGATTCATTTATGAAGGCTGGTTCTTTGTAAGTAGATAGACATCTACTGGTAGGTTTCTCTACAATAGTGTCACTTTGGGCTTTAAACTGACACACATGGTGTGACTGTAAAATTGTTCAAAGCAGCTCCCATTCCAAAACTACCATACCTTAACATGGCCAAGAGTTACTGAAGTCAATGATCAAAAAGATTTAATGAAAATATTCGTAGCTTCTTCAAAACTGCGTATGATTAGAGAAATTAGGTAATAATATCTTGATGTCCTCCATGAACTGTAGGCTGCACAAAGAGAGTTTAAGCTGAGACTTGCATATTGTGCTGTATTCCAGTGTGCACGCGCTGCAATGGAGACTCTAACCCTGGCTCGCTACATCCTGGAGATGTCCCTGATGGAGTACAGCCTACTGTCAGTGAAGGAGTCCAAGCTGGCCGCGGCCACTCTCTACCTCGCTCTCAGCATGAAGAAGGAAGGAACATGGGTAACAGTCAACTCATCATACACATAACATGCCTCTTGTCGCAAAGTTGCAGTTTTGTAATATCTACAATTGTATTGTGTGAAAATTTGTGTGAAAAAGAATGATATTAATTTTAGTAGGGCACTGGGATAGTCTAGTGGGTAAAGCATTCGCTTGTCATGCCGAAGACATGGGTTCAATTCTCCACATGTACAATGTGTGAAGCCCATTTCTGGTGTCCCCTGCCGTGATAATGAATGCTAGAATATTGCTAAAAGTGGCGTTACACCGAACCCATGCACTCACCCATTTTAGTAGGTAAATGACTAGTACCTATCAGTATCAAAGTTAGCTATGTTGGGTGTAAGCTGAAACTATTCTGAAAAATTATAAACTCCTTATGGATTATTTTCCAATTGTGGTACAGTTTCTATACCAATAGAAGAGTTGCAGTGCAAAGTTTGATTTTGATAAGAAGATTTTCCAAGAAATATTGCTTTTTTCGTGTTTTGAACTTACAAATATCTTGAAGTCGAAGGTATTACTGAGCAGTGTTCACTTTCTGTTTTGTTATTTGTCTTAAGTTGACAAACAGCATAGTACTGGTTGCAGACTTAGGATTATGCACAACTTTACTGACATATACATTTTATTCAACAGACTCGGACCATGGTTCACTTCACTGGCTACGAGGTGTCGGAGATTAGAGACCTCAGCAGACAACTGAACACTGTGATCAAGTCTCCTCCAAACAAACAGCTCACAACCATCAGGTCAAAGTATGCACACAAGTGAGTAGTGCCGTCTTACCTACTGTCATTACCTCTGTCAGGACGTGGACAAACAGAATCAGAGATTTATATGGGCCTATCTATTTGTGAGGCCAGGGGACTCTCGGTTCTTATTCTGGGCGGGGTCCCACGCTGGCCACATGTGGCACGCTTCACTTGATTTCTGAGAAGTTGACTTGGGCCATCGTTTATAGTGTATCATATCATTCCACCTGCTCAGAAGCCTTAAGCCTGTTATAGATAGGAGATAGCCTCCATGGTCTGGTGGTAGAGCGTCCACCCAGACAGCGGAAGGTTCAGGGTTCGATCCTGGCCACGTCATACCAAAAGAGGTTAAGCGATGGTACTTGTTACCCTATCTGGCACTCGGCATTAAGGGGCTAAAACAAGGACTGGTCGGCTCGGAGTCAGTATACTGTGTCTGAGTGGGGCATTCATGTTAAACTGCAGCATGGTATCTCAGTGGGCTAGCACTATAAATCGGCATCAGCCCGTACTAGCACAAGCAGCCACACACACACAGACAGACACACACGTGCATGCATGTCGCTATATAAGTGCAATAATCTTGGACGCGATGTTAAACCCCATTTCACATCATTACCTTCAGATAGGAAATTTCAATTTTTAGATTGAAGGAAACCAACCATTGATGCTCATGAACTTTGAGTATATTATTTACCAGAATAGGAGTGTCAGTTATCAGTAACATGCAATTTCCAAATTTGATTAATTTTTATGAATCAAACAGCAATATGTTTTCCGTCCTCCAGGAGTGGCAATGTAATTATTTGGGTCCATTCACAATTTGTGTGTGTATTGGATGCCCTATTTTGCATGTTGTCACACTGCAGGAAACATATACCTGGTACCCTTGCCCCGGGAGGCTGTAACATCATCCCCATGGGTACAAATCCAAGATTTGCCTCGATCATGTTTCTGGGTTTGTCAGCACCATCCCTATGCTTATGGGTTTCACCAAGTGGTGAACATCTGAGACCTGCATCTCTGCGGGCTTCCTCCCCCATACTTACAAGCCTTGACATAACCTAATAATGTTCAAAACCTCATTAAACCAAACTCACTTACAAAGAAATAACATTACAGGATGCTCTGTCAGTCTATAAAGTATTACTCGAAGAGACAAAATGATTTAGACACTTCTCAAACTGATGAATATTTTTGTGCTTTCACAGCATTCTGAGTCAATCTATCACCAGTAAGTAATGAGATCAAGAATTTAAGACTAAAAGACAGCCTTCCAAGAAACAGAATTTAAATATATCACATCAGACCAATTTGTTTATCAGATTCCCCTACATTTTTTTTCCATAATTAATGAAAATGAAGCATATTGACTTGACAATATTGTTTTCTGCAAATCGGATATTTATCCTTCTGCAGTGACAGATTAAGAACTCCTGGGTCCCATTCCACAAGGCAATCTTATTATTTTGACTATCATAAGCCTATATTAAACTATGGGAGTTGCGATCATCTTAGAGCTTTGACTATCATAAGCCTAAGCACTAAGACTGCCCTTAGCCTGTGTTAAAGTATGAGAGTTACGACCCCCTTAGTGTTAAGATTTGCCAAGGGTCCCAGTACCCTCTGCTTGTTGTCAAAGAAGCCCCAAAATGTATGTGATGCAATATTGTTCCAGACACCCAATGAACCCTGTGTTTACATAATGATGATAACAATGCTAAAATCTTTGTTTCAGAGTTTTCTACGAGGTTGCCAAAACTACCACAATAGACAACGACGACTTATAGTTTCACCAGTGGAAGGTGTTTTATCCGTGGCAGCATGTGTGTTATGTATTACAGCAAGTGTCAATCATGAACACTGTTCTCTGTGCTCTGTACACACCTCCTGGTGGCCCACATTGAAATTGACAATGATATCGCCAGTTGACGCCCCCCTAATGTGTTGTGAAGGCAGCTGATGGACGTACATTGAAAAGGACCACAGCCAAGCACCACCGCTCGGCATCCTGTTGAACCATATCGATTGGAACTAGTTGATATGAATGGCTGAATATTTTTTATTTGCATTGTTAAATATTTATTGTTTTTTCACGGTGCCTTAGAAAGATTAAAATTTCAATAATAATTTAGAATTAGAACCCACATGACAAATTAGAATGATTAGAATGATCAGGCGTAAAGTATTTTCATTAAGATATTAGTATTATATTAGACTTATTTACTCCTAGGTGATAAAATTATAAGTATAATGTTTTGGGCTTTAAGAGGTTCAGTTCAGAGATAATAGTGATTCTATTTTGCAAGAAGTAATGAGTTTAGTTGACGACAGGTGTAACTTGTACAGAGACAATGATATGTACATAATGTCTATCCAAATCAAGCATGATATGTCGGACTGAGAGGAAATAAGGAATCAGGAATAATACCTCAGATATTCAACAAAGCTATGGGACACACTCAGTGTTGTATAGGACACTCGTTACCTCCCTGCTTGTACAGTTTTTACAACAGCATCGTAATGCTTTGTTAGATATTTTTATCCCCTGTTTTAGGTTTATTATGTTAAGGATGCAATATATATATAGTTCTTCACTACACTGTTACAATATTGGAGCGTTGTGAAACGAAATGATGACATGAAATTAAAAGTCGTCAAATTAAATTAACAGCATGCTTTTGACGTTTAAGTGAGCTGACCTGTCTCTGTAAAGAGTCTATGGGAGATGTTTGTCCTTGCAGGGAACCTACATGGAATCCTAATAGTAAACTATAGTTGAATATACAATCACAACAGAACCTTGGAATCAAGCAATATGCCAAACTTGACATGAAATTCCTGTATCCAAATTCAGCCTATTTTTTACCCTGTATGTGTGCGACATGACATGTGTTTGTGACTGTCTTTTCATTCATCTTTCTGCCTCTTCTCTCTCTCTCTCTCTCTGTCTGTGCTGTCCTTGCCTCAACTGCTCTGTAGGAAGTCTACTGGACAGATTCACTGAATACTTACAATAGTAGGAACATGCATCTCAAATCGGCAATCTCATTAAATCAGATTTTTACTCTGATGCAATACCTCTTTCACTGGACTTTGTAATGGGCCAATCAGTGTCAAGGCTTCCTAAATCTTGAAAATGAATGTGACCGGGAAGCTCCAAATGCAAAATAATAAAGCTGCATTCTTATATTGTTGTGGAAAACTATACATCCAATTCTTCCGGAGATCCATGGCATCTACACTAACAAGAGTGTACTAGCAAGGGTATAATTGAGTGGGTTTACTTTTGCTAAGATCAAAATTTCCAAATCCTGGGCCCACTTGCACAAAGCAATCTTAGCACTAAGATGATCGTAACTGCCATATTAACATAGGCTTGCGGTAATCTTAGCGCTAAGATGGCTTGTGCAAGTGGGCCCAGTAGGTCAAGAAATGAATCCAAATCATTCTTCAAAACTAACCTTGGATCAGCTCAAGAAAGCACTCATTCAGAGAGTTGTGTATATCTGACTGGGCCATCTCCTGTGGGGGGTTACCTCAGATCGTCAAGCAGACGGGTGTCATATCAGAGTGAAAGGTCTGATTTTAATGAGTTTGCCCTAAGTCAGGAAAGAGGTCATTCAAAAGTTCTGCATATTTCAGTTCCATTTAATTCCTTGTGTACCATTTATGCTCGGTCAGTGCATGAGGTGGTAGGGAATGTTACTACCATTAACATTACCATAGGGCAATTGCAACTGCTTTTGGATTAAACTTGCTTTCATTGGACATTGATATAACTTCATGTGCATATTGTCGGAGTAAACTGGGCCGCTTCATATCAGCCTTGTGTAAATTAACTGTAGGGCAACCCTCATACTTCATATGTGTTATGTAACAAATATTTTGTGATGAGAATTATAACTGCATCGCTGCCAACTGTTCCGAATTTTTTCATATTTGTTACGAATTAGCAACTCAATACGAAAATATTATTTCTTCCTTAATTCATATCAATAACATGCCCATCTAAGACAAAATGTCACATTGACTAAATTTTCATGAAAATCCGTCAAGAGGGTAATTATTTTGCCTCACACCATCTCCTACGAACACGGCGTTTATCGACTGGCATGAAGAGTTGCATCTGTCCATTTGAGGCACTCTACGCCTCAGAAGTTTCTTTAGTTGAAATAGAACGGATTAATAATTGACTTGAGAGGTCAAAATCGATATGAATATCCCGCTCCATAACCAGCACAATAAGCAGTATATTCAGTAGGCACTGTCCAGTAGACTGTCCATATGTTCAATACAAATCTTAGTACTAAGACTTTTGTTTGGCTGTATTACTGCTTCATAAATATAGAAGTCTTAGCACTGAGATGACTTGATGAAGGGAAGTTTGAAAAAACAATATTTATTGAGTATTTTGTAGGAACCATTTAATCTTAGTAGTCTTTAGCTAGAAAGAATTTGGTCTTGCTACCGTACCCAATGTTTGTGGAGGCTGCAAGTACAATGATAATACTTGAACCTGACTGTAGACCAGCACAAGGTGATCTTAACACTAAGACTTGAAGAACCAAATGTTACTCCAAAGGATAGAGAAATTAAAACATAACTTACTAGAAGTGTGTCCAAATGATAAAAGGCACTAGTGCTAGGATAGGATTGTTGAATTTTCACATGGATTTATTTCAGCAATTAGCTTAGGGACCTGTTAAAAGTGTCTGGTACAGCAGAGCAGCAGCAAATAGATGGTCCGGTAGAAGAGAAATTGAAGAATGGAAAATATTTCTTTTCTTTAATCAGTCGAAGAGTTTATTCATTTCCACCTACAGATTGCTTTCATTACTTCAATACAAAACCCACTGATAATTTTCATTGCACAGTTTTGCAATTTGGGTTGGATCTGCAAACCAAGTAATTAAAAAACAATGTCTTATTGTCCCAAAGCTTTAGGCAATAGACCTTGGGATCATCCCATTCTACCAGCTATCTCTATGCTCCACCCATCAGAAGTCCTCTATTTGAACATAGACTTCAAGTAGTTGTACTGCAAATATCCTTTTGTGGAGCAGGGTCATGAACGAAAGTGAGTGTGATTGGTTGTCCTGTGAATTCTAATCAAAGCATTTATTAAATCCTGTATCCCTTTTTTATAACAATATTTGTTCACTTATGTGCCATTGTTAAAAAATGGAGTTGTAAATGCTTTAGTTGTCATCTGTGTGAATGTTGTCTGTAAAAAAAAGTGATATACAAATGTGCTAATAGCTTATCATTATCCAACTAATTTGGTCTAACAACAAAATTGTGACTTTTCTCAGAATCACCAGTGAAAAAGATGCCACATCTAAGTAATTCTTCAAATCATCAAACTTGTGCAATCTTCATCATATATTTTTTATAATATTTTCTAGTACATTTGTATGTTTGTCCTTTACTTTCACTGAAACATGATATGCTAAGCAATATTTGCCAACAGTTTGCCTGAGTTGTTCATACAAAACAGCTGAAAATTGTCTATAATTGAGAATATTTTGCACATTTAACTCCGTATTTACATTCTTTCTTACTTCGCATCTATTCCACTGTATATTTTCAGAAGATGGTACATTAATCATGAACAAGTGTAATCCCTCGGTCTAGTCCTGTCATGTAAATCACAAATTATCAAAAGAAATAAAGTATCACATCGTAGCTGTCTTTTTTTTATTTCTTTGCCTGACGGGAGAGTGGAAGGTCGGTGGTTCAATCCCCTGGCTGTGGCATAGCAAGTGATGTTCCAAGATGGTACTTGTTACCAACCTGTGAAGATCTGGGTTAGAATTGGTCTTCAGCAACTCTTCAGTGCTAACGAGATCGGGTGGTCAGGCTTGCTGACTTGGTTGATGCATGTCATTGTATCCCAATTGCTTAGATCGAAGCTCATGTTGTCAATCACTGGATTGTCTGGACCAGATTCAATTATTTACAGAACGCTGTCATATATGCGGCGTTAAACAACAAAACTTATTACTCAGCCTGGTGCTTAGCATTAAGGGGACAAAACAAGGACTGGCATAACAAGTGCTAACAGTTTTGAAACATTACCAAAAATATAAGAGTTTTTAAAAAAGCTTCTTTCAATCGTTTGTTACAAGACTATTCATTTATCTACAGGTTGACCTGAAAACCAGTGTGAAAACTGTTGATAATTTGGTTGCTTGTTGCATTAACATTGAGGCTATGTGAGTTGTTATGTCCAGACCATGGTAGGGATATTTTTTTAAATATACTGTTCAAAACAAGTTAAAGAATACCCACCAACCATGACAGACTATCAATAGTCATATGAAAAAAATTGGGTGTTCTTTAACTTCTTAATAGTATTAATTGTATGGACCTGCTTGAGTTTGGCCTCTGTTGGAAGCTTTGTGTGTAAGAAAAAAATATTTGCCTACATTTTAATTTCACATAGCTAAGCCCCTGACAGGTTGGCTGGGAGTCAGTCTACTGTTTTTTTTTTTTTATGTTTAACACTGCACTCAGCAATATTCCAGCTATATGACGGCAGTCTGTAAATAATCGGGTCTGGACCAGACAATCCAGTGAATGACTTCATGTGCATCGATCCATGCAATTTGGGATACAATGACATGCATCAACCAAATCAGCAAGCCTGACCACCTGATCCCATTAATTGCCTCTTTTTGTGTCTGAGTGGGAGTGTTTGTATAACTGCAGTATCCTGTGTTGCAGTTGAAGGGATGCTTCTATATTCAATGAAAATGTTTCACATCAACACAAACATTGTTGAAAATTAACTTATTTTGTTCTGGGTATATTCAGATTTCAACAAGGTCATCCATCCCAATGATCCCATACATGCACTAATTCTCGTGTATCCTAGATCGATCTCTTGAATCATTCAAACCCATCACATGTTCAGCTATGAGTGGTTTTGTAGTCTGCAAGCATCAGTAAATGAACAACACCAGTTTCTTTTATTACATATTTTAGCAGACACATTCTGTGACAGACTCTGTAACTCCAAACAATTTCAATAGCCTTAGTGTCACCGTTGCTTGATCAGTCTTCATTAACATTTTCTTAGAAAGTGGGGAAAGTTATTTGCGTTTTCATTCATAGACAAAACATTCCTGTTGTGGACCGCCTCTGTGGTCTCAAGCATAGATCATCTGCCCGGAGAGCGGAAGGATGTTAGTTTGATCGCCTGGCCACATCAAATAAATAGACGTTACATGATTGCACTTGTTACCCTGCTTGGCACTCGGCTTAAGGGGCTAAAATAAGGACTGGTCGGCTCGGAGTCAGTGTACTGTGTCTGAGTGGGGCCGCATGTTTAACTGCGGCAAGGTATCTGAGTGGTCTAGCACTCTAAATCGGCATCAGTTCAAACTAGTACAAGCAGCATGCACACTCACATATAAATGCAATAATCTTCAAAGCGAGCACAGGTAGGACAAACTTAGAAACATAATCGGGGCGAACTGGGATTGAAACCCACGACCATAGGCTTCTAGCATGCCCAAGTGATGCAACTCTGCACAGTGGTGCCGAGATGACTGGGCCACCAGTTGGCCCCAGAACTCAAACGTGCCCTGCGCTGTGCATGAACCTTGTGCGAAACTTGTGTCATTGCCTGATACTGTGCTGTGTAGAACAGATGGCTGCAAGTCTGTGCCACATGAGAAATATTTTGCAATGAAATCTCGCTCATTGGTCGTTGGTTCCCTCTTCCTGAAGTGAGTGAGTGAGTGAATATGGTTTTTCGCCGCTTTTAGCAATATTCCAGCAATATCACAGCGGGGGACACCAGAAATGGGCTTCACACATTGTACCCATGTCGGGAATCGAACCTGGGTCTTTGGCGTCATGAGCTAACGCTTTAACCACTAGGCTACCTGACTGCCCCTCCCTTCTTCCTGGAACCAGGCCATGTCTCGAGTTGTATAAAACCAGTGACAAACCACATGTCTTCACGGTGGATGTAGGAACATGATAAAAACAAAACTTGTCAGGTAGTGACGATGGGTGTCTTTTAATAAGGAGATGTTATCCTGTATGGACACTGGACAACAGAAGCACAATCTCATTAAAATCAGATCTTAGTCCTTGCTACCGCTAAACAAAGATCCCGTTACAGGTCACGTCAGAATGACCATATATCCGACCAATCAGCGTGTTGCTTACCATCAGGAAAGTGACAGTCGGAATGTGATGTCAAATCATCCAACCTTGACAAATTTAACAAGGAATATTCCAAAAGAAGTTTTCAAATTTTAAATTGGGAATTTATCAACATATGTTTCGAAGCGTAGTACCCAATCTGAAACTAGTGCATTGAAGCACGAGAAAGCTGCCTTCTGATTGGCTAATGTTGATTTCTTCTGAGTCATTCCATTGGTCTGTCAAAGGTCGCGAAAGGTCAGTCTGACGTGACCCGTAATGGGCTTAGGGATAGCAAGACATAAGATCTGATTGTAATCAGTATGTCAGAAGCACATATAGTTTACACATCTCATATCATGTCTATAGTCTATGAACATATTTACAGCTGTATACACAATAAATAGAGAATATCATTCGGAGGTCTATACTCGTGCCAGTCTTTCAACCAGTCATGATCCCCCTACTATGCCATGTTATTACAATGTAGATGTAGTATTTAATAAACAATCTTACATCTGCAGTAGGGCTGGGACGGGTAACTCAGGTACTCGGGTACCTGGGTAGGTACTGAGAAGGACCCGGGTTCTCACTGTACTACCGGACCTATTGTTAGTCATATGATATATTGTTTAATGACAAAGATTATCTAAAACCCTATGTGGTTACACTACCAGTCACTAATATTCGTATTTCTTTCTGATTATGCACCCATTCCTTCTGAATTTTGTATGTTTGAATAAAGATAAAACTTCAGTAAACTTCAGTGTATGCATGACCTGATCGCTTTAAACGTGTATGTAAATAGTTTTCGCCAGGGCTCCGGTCGAACTATTCCCAAGTGGACGCTATGTACCAAACTTTTGAGACCTACAATGTGTACCTGGGTAGGGTCGGGTAATAGGGGGGTGGGTACCTCGGTAGTAAATTTGGACTCGTCCCAGCCCTAATCTGCAGATAAGACCAGACACACATAATCTGCCACAATCAGCATCTCACAGACTTCAACTTATAACTGAATTAATATTTTCAGTAATGTACGTGACAATGGTACATGCCTAAGGACAACACTATGTTATAGTGAGAAAGTTTGGATTAGCGCCCCAACTGACAGTATTTCAGTTATATCACGTGACAGCTCAATGTAACACCAAATCCTAAAGTGATGCACGTCTTTGACGTTAATGATCGTGCAGCACTGGTATGGTACTGACAAACCTAGAAACATAATCAGGGCAAATCTGTAACACAATGATACGTTCCTGGCACAGCAAAGGGGTGCAACTCTGACATGCAAAAAAGGACATGGCTCTCAGTCCAGTACAAATTATGTTTGTTTCATTTTTTAATGGCAATTCTATCCAAATACATGTAACATCGGAAATCATGTACACTTTCTAGGTTGTCTACTGAATCTCAATGCCAATTCTCATCAAGTCTGGTATTGTAAGAACACCATGAAAAGACTTATACTTCAATAAGACAGCCAGGAGCTTTTGTGGCAAGTTGACAAGTGTACAAGAATGTTGAGGTTAAGAATACATGGAACTCAAAATTAGACACTACATTATCAAAAGATATTTTGCTCTATTGCTGTTGGAAATTGACAGAGTATGCAAGCAAATCAAGAAGGTAATCTGGACCACAACATTCTGGTTTTGATACATGTCATCGTATTCCAAATGCATGGATTGATGATGTCAATCACTGGACTGCCTGGTCCAGACTCGATAATATTACAGACCCCCGTCATATAGCTGGAATATTGCTGAGTGCGGTGTTAAACAACAAACAAACAAACAATTCTTGTTTTGACCTGAGGTCTGGGGACACTATGTTCAATTTTGACAGAAATATGTATTTATTTAAAAAAAATAAAAATTGTGATCAAAGTAACCTGTGCCTAAGTAACCTACTTTGCCCAGCACTCTTCTCTAGTCAGAACTTGAAACTTTTTTAAGATGACGGTGATGATAATCATCACCATGACGACACAGTGAACTGAAAGTCTCACTGGGCGATGTTCCTGGTCCAGCATCATAATGTTCACATCAACTCATACTTAGCAGAAATACTGATATAAGCAAAGAGTACAAGACACTACGTACATGAAGGGACCTTGTCCGACCAAAGGATGCCATAGACCATACTAAAATATTTAAGTACCAATTAGCAGAAGTATCAACTTGAAACAAAGGACTATGTTTGTACATGTGTTATAAACAAAATTGGGATTTTCAGACAATTAGAAGACCAAAACAAAAATGGCGGTCAAAAGACAAGACGCTGAGAAAAGGGAAATAACTCTTGTTTCTATGCCAATGTCAGTGACAGTTCTAGTCTACAAAGAAAGGTACATATTTTCTAAAAAAATATATAAAAGCAGTGGTAATGGTAACTGCTGGGTTAGGCTTAAAAAAATAAAAGAATTGGTCAGGCAATGACTTTTAAAAATTAGAACTGGCGTTTTTTTTGGTTGTTGCTTGTTTAAACAAGTATGTCACCAAATAAACAGATGTGTACCATCAACCCAGGAAAGGGCCTCCCTACATAAACAAGCATACAAACTCCTATTGCCGCCATGACCGTAACACGAGATGTGCAGTAAAGCAGTGCACATGTAAAGGGAAGTAACTGCATGCTAGAATTAGGATTTATAATTATTTTTTTTAAATGGAAATAAAAACGAAACATGAGGCTTTATGATGATGCAGGCGGTGCCAGAGAACCAAGACTATTATTTTTTTTAGACTTACAAACATGTACATTTTTTCATTGAATGTTTTTGTAATATTGAGCTTGCAATAACTCATATCCTGAAAGTGCTATGATACCGGGGGTAATTAACTGTCGAAATCACACGTGAGTCGATCGGCACTTACTACTGTGTTCACAGTATCGCCCTGCTCTCATAGTTTGGTGTACAGGATGTTACGAGTAGAAGGGCTTGTACACCATGAGGTGGAAGGTCAATGAGTGCACATGAATGGTCCGCTCTTATAATCAAGTACAATCTGCCAACGAATCATCACAAATTCATCATTACAAGTCTACAAATGACAATAACTGATTTCCAGTGAATACAATTTCTGCTACAATGACATCTATCCTGACTACCTTCAGAAGTTGCTATATGGCTGAAATAACCCCGATGCCACTTCAAATCTTAACTCACACAGACCTCAGAATGGTATGACAAGTGTTGTAAAATCAAACACTATGACAGATATCAAGATGTGATCACCAATTATTTTAGTTCTATTTTGTATTGGAATAAATTTTCGAAATTAGGCACTTTCCCGGACTCGTACAGAAAAGTCAGGTACAAATACATCGGAAATTCCACATGAATGTGTGCCTATGAAAAATACTCAGAATACTGTGACACAGAATAAAGGTGATGCAAAGCATATACAGCAGAGAACCAGTCTCTGTAAGAATGGCTTCATTACAGATTGTACGTTCGTTTTTCTCGCAACGGATAAGAAGATATTGTAAGCAGTTTACCATAAAAATGGGAAATAAAATCAGTCAGTGTGCTTAGTGTTCAATCAAACATTAATGGGTTGGGGGTTGTTGGGGGGTCAATAATGTATTGATACACCCATATCTCTTACACTATTTGTGATTTGTGTTTTTCAAGCTAGTATGTAACCAAATTTTGTTTACAATAATTTCGGGGAAATCATATTTTAAATTATCGTAGAATTTGACTCCCGGGGTCATGTGTTCGAGGCGCTGAATATTTCAAGATTTTTTATTTGGAAAATTGAAATAAAAACTAACCGTGCGGCAGACATTATGATGAAGCGGGCGCTACCTGAAACCAAGACCTTTTTATTATTTTATTCAAAATTTCATTCAATGTAAGTTACAAGTTGTATCACAAACAAACCCAGCATTTAAGTATCCTGGCAGACACCCAAGCAAAGCCACAACTTTAGTCATATTGATGTGGCTAAACTAACCCATTTTGTGCCTTTGAATAGAGTTATGTCCCTTTACAGAACTGTCATCAGTTATTTTCCAATATCATGATACATACAGGGGTAGGTATATTGTGACACCTCTACTGCCATAATAACACAGTGAATGAAATATGATTAATTAGAATTGCCACTTTTACCTGATTTATCATAAGCAGCACCAATCACCAAGCCATAACATTTTGTTTGTTTTGTTGTTTAACGCCGCACTCAGCAATATTCCAGCTATATGGCGGCGGTCTGTAAATAATCAAGTCTGGACCAGACAATCTAGAGATTGACATCATGAGCATTGATCCACCCAATTGGGATACGATGACATGCATCAACCAAGTCAGCGAGCCTGAACTTCATCTTAAGTAAATTAAGGGGGGGGGGGGGGCATTTTTATGTATAGTGTTGGGGGAATCCTCATGTTTTTAAGTTTAAATTGAGGTATTTTAACCCTATAACTTAACATGTAAATCATTATAGATTGCTCTGTTACAATTGAAGTCACCTCTTCAATTAGTTATACATAATAACTTGAATAGGGAAAATCTTGATTCATATTTTAGTGTTTCAGTAACATTCACAGCAGATTTGGGGTAGATTATCAGCCTCTGAGCAGAGCGAGACAAAATCCCTGCAGTTGGTCTTCTCTGTTGCCACAATAGGCTGCTGACCCCACCTACCCACAAAACCTACAATGCACTGTCATAACAAAGTAGTAATATAAATTTCAATTCTCTGCGGGTACTTGTACCAGACATGCCTGAATGCCATTGTTCTTCTGATACTGAAACAGTATGACTGTGGTGAATCACATTCAAGGACATTCCTACAAAAAAACAGCCATGTTGGTTTTATGAAAAATTGCAAAATGAATGGTAGTGTGTGCCTCAACCTGATTGGTTGAAAAAATGTTAAATGGAACTCAAATTTGAAATTAAACTATATAAAATGGAAAACATAAATTAAATATAAAGTTTGATCAATATTTATAATTTTTTTCTCACATTCTGCTAACCAGGCTAATTCGTCGAAGTCATAGCATCATAGAGATTACAATTACTGAGAGCTTTTGTATTTTACAATGTCTATAAACATGTCACTTCAAGTTCGCGGGAGAATTCAGGGCACAAAATACTCAGTTACACTCGCAAATCTATCTGAAAAACATGCATATCTCCTTATTTGGTCACAAGACAACCTGGATTGGTACCTCTTTAATGGCTTCATTATTCGGGAAAACTCATGAGTGGATCTGACTTGGAGCGCAGTTCCGCACTGATTACTGATATATCATCTGATACATCAACACATTCGTAAGTCCCATCACTGATAACTCATCATATGTCCCCCTGCAGACACACAGACAACAATGTCAAATCAGCAAGTTGCTAGTACTGCGTCTCTTCCCACATCATCTGCTGGCTATGGCTGGATGTTGTTCAACACGTTCCAACTTCTCGAAATGTTTGCGAGCGTTCTTGATGTTGATGAGCGTGGCAGCAGAAGCTGGAAAACATAAAAAAAAATCAATAAACAGCAAATAAACAACAAATAAACAACATTTGTGATGCTAACTAAGAGATGCAGGTGCCAGGTCCTGGTGACACCAGAGAGCATGGGTGTGGTGTGACAAAAATAAAACATGATCTGGGCAGATATTCAAACCCTTAAGGCGTTGCCCCTCGTCTTAAATCATGAGTCAATAATGACACCATGGATGCCTGAAGATCAAAATGTGGTATCTTTACTAAATCCTTAGTCACAGCTGACCCCTCAGCCTAACTGGCATTCCCATGACAACATTAAAACACATATACAAAGTCACGAAGAACATATATACATATCATAACTAGGGATACATGATCATACATTCTACACTGTGTGAGATGGAACAAACTGTCTGTTTACAATGGGGGATAACTCTTGTAGCCCTTCTTGCATACCACTAATAATACAGTAATCTCATAACACAGATGTCTGAGAGAGGCAACTCTGTAGAGATGTGGTGGCCACAAACCTAGAACATGATCGGGGCAATCCGAGACGGGGGTCTATACTTACGTATTGCCGGGTCCGACATGACGACCATGACGTATGTGTTGGAGGTGAAGACGTCGATGAAGGCAGCGAAGGACGAATTGCGGACTTCCATGCTCTGGAAGGATGCAGCCAGTCTGCTGCAACTCAGCTTGAACTGCTTGATGATGTTGCTGATCTTCTCGAACCTGTGGACGTCTCGATGAGGCTTCCGTTCACAATGTGAGATCACCTGCAATACAATGTTCAAAGGTCAGTTGCAACACAACATTCAAAGGTTACCTACAATACAATGTTCCTAGGTCAGCTACAATACAATGTTCCTAGGTCAGCTACAATACAATGTTCAAAGGTCACCTGCAACACAATGTTCATAGGTCAGCTACAATACAATGTTCAAAGGTCAGCTAACAATACAACATTCAAAGGTTACCTACAATACAATGTTCATAGGTCAGCTACAATACAATGTTCAAAGGTCAGCTAACAATACAACATTCAAAGGTTACCTACAATACAATATTCATAGGTCAGCTACAATACAATGTTCATAGGTCAGCTACAACACAACATTTAAATGTTACCTACAATACAATGTTCATAGGTCAGCTACAATACAATGTTCATAGGTCAGCTACAACACAACATTTAAATGTTACCTACAATACAATGTTCATAGGTCAGCTATAACCCCCGTGGAGCTGAGAATGATAATAATAATAGCGTAATAATAGCACTTTGAGCATGCCCCTGAATGATATGGAAATATGCGCAACATAAATAGACTATTATTATTATATATTAGATGTAAGACCTAAAAAGCAATATGACCATCACCAATTTTCAAACAAGATTGGTATTCATAACCAACAAATAAAATAAATTAAGTCTGTCTTGAATTCTTCAAGGAATGGCAAAGTGTCAAATATATCACTGTGATAAATCACACTTAAACATCCTTGGTATGTAACTATTCGTTATGTGTGTTTTAATACTTATTAACAAGTTGAATTCTTCAAGGAATGGCAAAGTGTCAAATATATCACTGTGATAAATCACACTTAAACATCCTTGGTATGTAACTATTCGTTTTGTGTGTTTTAATACTTATTAACAAGTTGAATTCTTCAAGGAATGGCAAAGTGTCAAATATATCACTGTGATAAATCACACTTAAACATCTTTGGTATGTAACTATTCGTTTTGAGTGTTTTAATACTTATTAACAAGTTTAGGTCACTTTGTAAAAATATTAAGATTTTCAAGCTATTTGGGTGATTGACACTTAAAAATGCAAGGCTTTTCAAGGTTGACACTAAAAAATCAAGGTTTTTTCGAGAGGGACCTTAAAATTCAAGGCCTATTCAAGCCTGTACGAATCCTTGTTCAATATCAGGCAATGATAAGGTTCGCACAGAGTTCAGGTCGTTGTTATCTGACTTCAGTAAGATGTAAACAGCCTCATTTTATTGCCCGACTAAAAATAGATACACGTCACTATGACAACTCACACTGGGCTCAAGTATCAACAGGGGTCGGATGAACACATCTTCCCGAGGCAAGGGAGTTAACTGACTGTAAAAGTCCTGTTTCCACCCTTGCTGAACTAGGCTGGAATTTCCAGGCTCGATCGTAGCGCGACCAGTGACTATTACGAGTTATGTCCCTTCTATTGACCAATTAAATCCACCTCTCACATCACTTGCATTTGCTTCAAACAAAATGGCTGCACCCAGTGACTGATAATCAAATGGTTTTTGTAACATAAAGGGTCTTACTTCGCAAAGTGCATCCAATCACATGAGCACCTTGATTAAATACATGAAAAGATTAGGAAAATAGCTATTGACACTAAGTTGACGGTACACATGCTTTTCAAATCCTGTAATCAACCGAAATCTGCATGAGATAACTCACCAGGAATGTAGCTCTTTCAAACAGCAGGACTTCGTCTGCATCAATGATGTCAGCAAAGTTCTTTAAGTTGTTCTCAAGTTGTTGTACATTTGGAATCAGCTGATACACAATGGAGGACCAACCCTAGACAAAAAACAAGTGTAAATTTCTCCTTATTTCTCTACATTGAACATTAATCCTCAAACAATAGTTAGGAACTCAACGAGAAAGAGAGAGAATACTGACATGTACTATCATGAAATTATCAAGTATTCCCAAGGTGGGAGAAAATCCCTATGGGATTAATTCTATTTGATTACCCACTCTCAATAAAATGAGAGTTTTTCCTCTTATACGATACTTCTCTTAGTCCCTTAATAATTGACAGATGAAAGAACGCATGCAATATAGTGTGGTATGTATCTCAATACATGAATCATGAATAAATTGCATTATCATACCTCCATGTCAGAATGACGAGATCTGATTGGTCAATGTACGTTACCTGATATAGCACAAGTTAACCCTCTCTCAATCAAACAGCTGTTTTCTAACAATTTTGAATTAGTGTTAATTCTTTTACAAAGTCGCATTTAAACATGTCACTAAGATAAATTGGTTGTAGCAGAATCACGAGGGGTACATGGGGTTTTATGCGTCCCAAGTTCGGTTTTCTACGACTCGCCTTCGGCCTCCGTCTCATGGTATAAAACCTAACTTGGGACGCATAAAACTTCATGTACCCCTCGTGATCCTGCTACAACTCGCAATACAGAAGTCCAATGTCCATCACTGCCGACATGCTGTAGTTACCTTGTATAACGTCTCATCCCATATTGAGGTAGCAAAACATGTACAGTTGAGGGGCTTCGACAGGCGCTTTAAGTCCTCTTCTCTCTCCCTGAATATCTGCCGATAGAATTACATACAATGACATTCTTTTATGCAACTTCTCCTTCATTTAAAGGTTTGTTTGCTTGTGTTTTATTGCCTTACTCAGCAATATTCCAGCCATTCGATAGAGGCCTGCAAACAATCAACCAGACAGTCCCGTGATTGATCTTTTGAGCAACAATCGTGGTTGTCTGGGTATGTCACACGTCTCTTCAAGTCACCGAGCCTGACCACCTATTGTCACCTGTTATCATGTTTAGGAAAGCTGTTACTTTGTACTAGAATGAACGTTGTTTTGTCAAATATACTCTCTTATACGTTCCACATACCATAGTAATTTCAATTGTATAATGCCAGTATAATCCTTTTGGGTTTGTATCAAAACCTTTTACAGCAATGAAATAATTAACATTAGCCTCCATTAGCCACAGAGAGATGATCAGCTCCAAGATAATACTCTTTTGGTTTGTCTTGATTAAAAGACTAAAACCGACAACATCACTTTACAGATTTTTTTTGCGGTGAACAACATGAGGAGGAACAAAGAAATATAAATCTATAATATTTTCCGTGATTCTATTACAGTCATGCCCCGCTCATACGGACTTCAGATATCCAGAAACATCGGTTCCCGGACGATTTTCATTCAAAACGAAATAATTACTATATAAATTTACCCGTATATACGGAAATTCAGTTTCCGGAACTGGATGGTCATTTTCATACACAAAACACTGAAATGCACACAAAATTGTTTCACTTACCCGGACAATACACTTCCGCTGGTGGTAATCATTTGATTCGTGAGAAGTCAATTAACCAAGTGACACTGAGTTACGTTTAAGACGAGCTTGTTTATTGTACATGTAATCCCATTCGATAACCCACTACAGTCATCTGTCATGAGTTGCATAATTGAAGAGAAGTAACTCTTCCAGTAAGAAGCTGGTTTCAGTTATACGGAAATTTGTTTATACGGACAAATTGTGAAATGATGCAAGTGTCCGTATAAACGAAGCACGACTGTATTGGGGTTGCATAGAATCAGTAAGCCAAATTTTAAAAATGCAGTCATCCCCCTCCTCACCAGCTCTCTTTGGTCGTCCTGCACCAGGTCCATCTTGTGGATGAGGCAGAAGATCCGGGCCTCCGGGGAATTCTGCAGGATGGCCTCCAGACAAGACTGGTAGTAGTGCATGTCTTTCTCCAGCTCCCGGCTCTCCACGTCAAACACGTAGATCAACACCTCCACGTTCCGGAATATGTTGTCTCGCTGACTGGCGAAGTAGTTCTCCATGAACGCCTCTTGTCTGAAGGTCACAAGGTCACAAGGTCAAAAGGTCAGTAGTGTCAGTAGTGTCATTAGTAAAATCAGTACCATGTGTTACAAACGTTAATTTTTGTTGAACAGATCTGGTTAATAGGCAGTTGTGATGCTGCATCAAATGTCATTAGGAAAAAGTTGAACTCCAGCTTGATTCACTCACAGTCCCACGGGTTCAAGATCAACACATTAGGGCTGAGACGAGTCCAAATTTACTACCCGGGTACCCATTCCCCTATTAGCCGACCCTACCGGGTACCCGCTGTAGGTCTCAAGATATAGGTACAAACTGTCCGATTGGGAAAAGTTTGACAAAACCCCTGCAAAATGTATTTAGATACACTTATGAAGCAATCTGGTCATGCATACACTGAAGTTTTATCTTTATTCAAACATATAAAAGTCAGAAAGAACATTAGTGACTTGTACTGTAACCATAGAGTTTAGAAAAGTTTGGTCATTAAACAATATATCACATGACTAACCACGGTTTTGGGGGTCCATGGGTCCTACTCAGTACCCACCTGACCCGAGTACCCGAGTTACCCGTCCCCCCCTACAACATATCTACCTACCCTCCACAGTCCCATAGGTTCAACACCAAGTTGCCCAGGAATCTCACGTGAGAATGTTCCACATCAACTGAAACACCAAATATACGTCTTTTTAAACCCTTCAATATATATCCACAATACTGAAACACCAAATATACGTCTTTTTAAACCCTTCAATATATATCCACTATACCCATTACTGCACATGGTCACGTATCCCATGGACCTGTGACGATCTGGGGTAGAAAAGGTATTCAGCAACCTTTCCTGTCGGAAAAGGCGTGTCATCATATCCTAATTGCGTGGATCGATGCTCATGATGTCAATCACTGGATTGTCTGGTCCAGACCCAATTATTTACAGACCGCCGTCATATAGCTGGAATATTGCTGAGTGCGGCGTTAAACAAAGAAACACAAATCCCCTGAGTTTGTCTGTGACTTAAGGTGAGGTGAAATTGGGTTTAACGTCGTGTCCAAGATTATTGCACTTATATAGCGACCTGCATGCATGTGTGTGTGTGTCTGCTTGTACTAGTCCGGACTGATGCCGATTTATAGTGCTAGCTCACTGAGATACCATGCCGCAGTTTAACATGAATACCCCACTCAGACACAGTGTACTGACTCTGAGCCGACCAGTCCTTGTTTTAGCCCCTTAATGTCGAGCGCCAGACAGGGTAACAAGTCTGTGACTTGAAGGCAGCATTAGAAATTGGCACTAGTCCTATAGTCCTTGCCAAACTGCCCAATGGTAAAGGGATCATAGGGACTAGTAGAAATTTGCCCTTTTTAAGGGTTTTGCTATATGTTTTCATTATAAGGACTAGTGGATGAAAACTGTTAGTTTCTACCGCTGTGATGGAGCCCTGGGTTCATCATCTATGTTAACAACTATTTTACAAGATATGGATAAAATGTTCATCTATAATAAAAAAACTGTCAAAATAAACATGGTGATATTTTTGCACATTTTACACCAATACACAGTTCATCGGGAGCTCTGTTCATGTTTCCTAACGTTCAAGGATGTTTCAGCATGATTAGCGCAGGTCTTACTTGTAGCTCCGAGTCTGCGGGTGTCTCTGGCGATGTAGTTGGCAAAGATGATGGACCTCATACTGGTCTTCCCTGACCCACTCTTCCCCATCAGCAACACCTGAAACAGTCATACAAAACTGTAGGTAACCACGGTATGGTTGACAAGCATATACACAGGTATGAGGCATCGTTTATACAGGTGAGTCGATTGGGATGTAGTTACAATCAGAGAGGAGAAGCCTGTTAACACTGCCTCATACCTGCATATATGCTTGCCTACCATACCATACTCGAGTTAAATTTACTACCTGGGTACCCGACCCCCTATTTCCCGACCCTACCCGGGTACCTGCTGTAGGTCTCAAGAGATGGATACAAAATGTCTGATTGGGAATTGTATTACCGCAGCCCTGGCAAAAACTATTGAGATACATGTATCAAACGACCAGATCATGGGTACACTGAAGTTGACTGAGGCTTTATCTTTACTCAAACATAACAAGTCAAAATGAATGCGAACATTAGCGACTTGTAGTGTAACGAAATGTTTGATAGGCATTACTTAGCAGTTGACTTGCTTGACAACGGTATAAGGATCTATACCGAAATGTCGCCTTTACAGTATTAAAGAAGTTGTCATCCATAAATTGTGTCTAAACGGTATAAGGATCTATATAGAGAATCTCACCCGAGTGTCTTTTGATATCAAATATATCAACACGAGTTGATAAAAGTGGAAAAATTCCGAGGCTTCCTGAGGATTTTTGCCACTTTTATCAACGAGTGTTGATATATTTTGTATCAAAAGACACGAGGGTGAGATTTTATTTATCATCCAACATCATTCTTTCAACTTTTTCAATTTGTAGACAGTAATTAGCAGTGTCTTCAGTGTAAAAAGTACTGCAAACAGCATCAGTAGCAGAGCCATTAGTGATGTCATTTGGTTGTGACGTCATGGTAACCAGTGATGTCACAATGGTCTGCAAAGCTTGATCTCATCCAAGCGATATCTCCTGTGGGAGCCAGTTTTGGATGATAAACCAAAATGTCACCTTTACAGTATTAAAGAAGTTGTTATGGATAAATTGTGTCTACTTTGTAGCGTAACCACTGAGCTATAGTGAGTTTTTGTCATTAAACAATATATCACGTAACTAACCACAGGTACCCTGGTCCTACTCATGACCCACCCGCCCCGAGTACCCGAGTTACCCAAGTTACCCAGACCAGCCCTAACATGCATCAACCAAATCAGCAAGCCTGACCACCCGATCCCCTTTGTCGCCTCTCATGGCAAACATGAGTTGCTGAAGACCAAATCGATGCATGTCTGAAACGTTTACATCAGAGACCATGTAATAGATCTGTTTTATGGCCTCTGTTTACGTGTATCATATCGACAAGCAAATAGAGGACTCAAACCAGAGACCATATACCGATGGTATATATCATCTCTGCTCAAACACACGAACATAGGATTTGAAGGCAAAGCAAGACAGCAAATTGTGTTACCTTAGACAACCATGCAGAACACCCACCCTTACTCCGAATAATGGCAAGTAATGAGATTATTACAGGTCAATGCCGACGCAACGACGCAATAGTATCCATGGCTGTCCAATTTTATTATAGCAATACATCATTTTTTTAGACTTTTACAATGTTTACCAGTCTAACAATTTATGGTCATGATATTATCAATATGCACCCACTTCCGGAAGATGTGTGAATGATGTGTCTTTCAGTTTGGGGCATTTACGCATTTAACGAATGACAACGAAGCTGATGATCACTGATCAATGAATCAGCTGATCGAAATGCACATTGCACTGCAGAAAGAAGGCGGGTTCAACAGATGTTGACAGTGCGAAAACTATGCTGTACAACAAACCTTTTTCTTCATAATGGAACTGCCGAATCCTCTTCACAAATTACCTTCTTAACAAATGTATACACTGTAGATGTGGTTTCGTAACGTGCTATCTACATAACACTTAAACCCAAGATATGATCTCGAAAATCTGAAAGCACACACTTCCGCCAAGATCACATGACTTGGACTGTCGCCCAGCCGCTTTCCATTCACTTCCGTCCGATGTCATAGACTTGCATAGGCTCCATTTATATATTTTTCGAATGTCATTTGGCGTGGTTGTGCTTCTACCTGTACATTTTCAGTATTGTTCACATAAAGATAAGACACACGAACGTTCATGGCCTTGTCTGTTCATGGTAGGCCGTTGATTTTAATTAATTGATATCTTCAACTGTTTTTAATATTCCTATAGGATTATGAGATATCATCCAAATTTTGTGTTTTGCTTTGTTCAGGTTCTGTTTTATTCTGACACACAAAAATCGGCGTGTGAGGTACAGAATGTCAGCACAGTTACGCCTGAGTTTTATCAGTTTTGTGTTCAAATATACTCAAAGCCACATAGACGGATTGTTATTCACCAGAAATCAATATATAAATATTTCAACAATAATCAAAAACAGTTGTTAAATGTAAAATATATTGTTCATGACCCCCCCAAAACAACAACAAACAAACCCAAAACAACAACAAACAAACAAAACAAACAAACAAACAACAACAACAACAACAAAACAGAAAATAGATAGATAGATAGATAGATAGATAGAAAGATAGATAGATAGATAGATAGATAGATAGATAGATAGATAGATAGATAGATAGATAGATAGATAAATAAATAGTGAAACACTGTTCAATCATACCAGGTCACCATGTAACAGAAAAATAGTGCCATCGGTGTATGGTCTCTGGTTTCCGCATCCAATAAGGTATGATTGTACAAACGAATCTTGCCGAGGCAAGAGAGTTAACTGACTATAAAAGCCCGTGGAAACTGGACTTTTAAAGTCAGTTAACTCTCTTGCCTCGGGAAGATAACGAATCCGTGGCATTTTGTGGCTATGAATTAAAGACACCACAAAAGCAGTATCAACTGTTACACTGTCAGAAAGAGAAATATCGACTGTAATGGTCACTACTGAGTGTGCCCCCTGTTTAATTATTTTCATGCACAGCCCGTCGGATAGACTTTTTTAATTAGTTGGTTTACAAGGTTTATGGCCAAGAATTCAATGTAGGTGGTCGGGGGCGGGGGGAACCCGTCCAGATCAGTCCTGCTGATAATGAATGAATTTTAACATGGCAAGATACTGAATTTACCGAAAGACAATTGAAATTTTTGTTTGTTAGACTAAAGATTAATATACGTATTATTCACCATTTCTTATGAACAGCGGTGGTAAAATCTCGTGTGTGTGTTTGTCCATTTCTCCAGAGTCGGCCCCCCAAAATAATGTTTAAAGTCATTTGTTTTTCTTCTTCTAATTTCGGGGGGTATTTGTTGTTGGTCGGTCACGAATAAAAACAAAAAAAATAATTTAAGACCAAAGATGCGGCAAAGGATTTCATGGTCACCTTCATGTATACCTGTTCATCAGCTGAATGAGATTTAGCCCATTTTACCACACAAAACATGACTATACTTACTTTTTATTATGATTATATAAGAAATCCTTAGATCTGCGATATCTTACGTTGATGTGAGCCATACGTTTTTGTGTTTTTAAACAAAGCCTCCAACCACATGTTTACACATTTTGCTAGTTAAGTGTCTTTATTATGTGTCGCAACACTTGGGAGTCGTGATTTAGGCATCAAGTGAATGTCCCACCCACTGTGCTGATAAGCTTCACCTTTGAACAAGTGTTCGTTTAGAATGGGTCCAGGGTAACACTACTAGAATTGAGTTATGATACATTAAACATAACCAAGGACGTTTACGTTTATAATCAGTGAAAGGCATGAAGAAAATCATCTTCCCGAGGCAAGGGAGTTAACTGACTATAAAAGTGGAAACTGGGCTGTTATAGTCAGTTATCTCCCTTGCCTTGGGAAGATGGAAGAAAATCTAGCGTAATTGTGTAGAATTACAAATCAGATGTTGGACGACCTGCAGTGATCCTTGCTGACTCTGTGCCATTTCCCAGTTAATTCTGCAGAGCATAACCCCCAAACATCTGATGTCCCTTGGAGTTTAGCCATGGTTTCGGCTTTGCTTGTTTTGTTATTTTTTGTTAACGCAACCCTCAGCAATAATCCCGCATGTAAATAATAGAGTCTTGATCAGACAATCCAGTGATTGATATCATGAGCAGCGATCCAGGCTGTCGAGGTACGATGACACAGTCAACCAAGTCACCAAGTTTAGTCGCCTCGTACAACAAACATCTTCTCTTCGGGCTTTCCTTCCTGACACGCCGTCATATAACTGGAATATTGTTCAAAGCGGCGTTAAACCCAACTCACTCACTCTAATCCTGAATCCCCACGGCGGAGAGCAGAATGGAGTCGACACGATTGCATGTTAAAGACAACTCTTGCATTCATGCAGGGATGTTGGGAGGCTCCGGTGAATAATAACTGGAGTTATCCATTACATTACTCGAGTCATGGCAACGACTGACGTTTGAACCAACCCAAGAAACCTCACCATCCATTTCCTGGTGATAATGACAGTGTAAGGTCCCAAAGACAAGATCGCTTCTTTCAATCAAGCCATAAGGGCCAACTCTGAAATATTGCAGCTCTATAATGGCGGCCTATAAATAATCGAGTATGGACCAGACAATCCAGTTAACGATATTGAAAGCAACGGTTCACGCCGTCGGCGGGGGTACGATGACACGCAATCAACCAATCACTGAGCCTGACATTCCGATCCATTCAGTGGACTCGTACAACAAGCATAGGTTGCTGGTACCTATATTCTCACCCGGAGTCCCCACGGGTGCAGACATTGGTGGGAAAAAGTAGCCTTGGCAACAGTTAGAAAATCCGTGGAAAATTTCGAATGGACAGACGGCAAGACTAGAACCTGGCCCCATTCATCATGGTCTCATCGGGGCACATAGTATGCGCGGTAAAATGGGGTTTAACGTTGCGTCCAAGATTATTGCACTTATATAGCGACCTGCATGAACGTGTGCGTGTGTGTGTGGGTGTCTGCTTGTACTGGTATGGACTAATGCTGATTTATAGTGCCAGTCCACTGCCATACAATGCTGCAGTTTAACATGAATACCCCACTCAGACAAAGTATACTGACCGACTTCACGAGCCCTTGTTTTAGCCCCTTTATGTCCAGCACCAGACAGGGTAACAAGAAGTACCATCTTTTAACGTCTTTTGGTATAACGCGACCGGGATCGAACCACGGATCTTCCTCTTCGCAGTAGAACACAGAGGCGGTAAAGTCTACCAGGTATATGGCGAAGACCTAAAATTAATTACTGTAAATCCGGAAAGCTTTGCAAGAAGGAATTTAAAATACTGTGAAAACTGTTAGTGACACACATTTGCAATAGTTTCATGACACAATTATTTTTGCAGACCAACAAGAAACAAAAGACATAAGGAGGCAAATTGTCTTTAAATCAATTCTACACATTGTCAAACCAGCTAGTTAATAATTAAACAAATAATCCCTCACATCCTGTAGTTCCCTAATTACACAGTGTCCGTTAGTGTCAATGTAAGAGGCTTCTAACGGATCCGGATCGGGTGGTCAGGCTCAGGCTCGCTGACTTGGTTGATGCATGTCATCATATATCAATTGCATAGATCGCTTCTGATGATGTCAATCACTGGATTGTCTGGTCCAGACTGGATAACTTGCCGACCACTGTCATATAGCTGGACTATTGCTGAGTATGGCGTCAAAAAACAAATGAACAAAACAAGATGTTTACACAACACCTGGTAATCCAGCCATACACGCTACTCCAACCTCCATTGTCATCAACAACACATGCATCTACAGTTTAAAAATCACTGACTGACACTGAGTTACCATTTCATCACGCCGCTTCCTACTATCAAATAGACCTGTGAAGATCCAGGGTAGAATAGGTCTTCAGCAACCCATGCTTGCCGTAAAAGGCGACTTTGCTTGTCGTAAGAGGCGACTAACGGGATCGGGTGGTCAGGCTCGCTGACTTGGTTGATACATGTCATCATATCCCAAAGGCATGGATCGATGCTCATGATATCAATTACTGGATTATCTGGTCCAGACTCGATTATTCACAGACCACCGTCATATAGCTGGAATATTGCTGAATGCAGCGTTAAACTTACAGGATGTCAGAAAACTTTCCAGAGGCAGTTTTTAAGACTATTGGCAGCCACTTGCAGTCATTTCATGGCGCAGAACTTCCCCGATTTACAGTAGTTGGTGGTCAGTATGCCAGTGGTACATCCACCCTAGTGCACTTTAGGCTGATATCCCTTGTTCACAGATGAGATAATTGTGTTCATAATGAAAATACAACTAGGTCAAATAAAAAAGGAGTTCAAACCATATTTATTGTAATTCCATATCATGGTTTTATTCTGTAACAATCATGAATAACAGCAAAACGTATCAAGAAGAACAAGACAAGCATTTATCAACAAACAACATGATAACAGACATGATCTGTCAGCTTATAGTACCAAGGGAGTGAGTGTGTATGGTTTTACACAGCTTCATTACCAAGGGAGTGAGTGTGTATGGTTTTACAAAGCTTCATTCCCAAGAGAGAGAGAGTATGGTTTTACAAAGCTTCATTACCAAGAGAGTGAGTGGTAGAGGCACAGCAGTCATCCAATGAAATTATTTACACTACTGCTGACAGCAAGTGACAACTGCAGAAGAGTTACTTCCCTTACATTGAGAAATCGATCGATATATTAATGTTGTTGGCGATATATGTTATTCATTTATTTTTATCCTCAAATCAGGAAAAAAATCGGTTCGGATCCATAATACAAGAAAAAGAATTGGTCTGCCATAAGTAAAATTTTCCACTGGACTAAATAACAGTACACAATCTGTTCTTATATTGAATGTGGTTTCGCAACAAGACACGCATGTGAGATCCACAAACCTGGGAATGAAAAGACCTATGGTTATGAGGTGAGGTGAGGTGAGGTGAGGTGAGGTGAGGTGAAATTGGGTTTAACATCGCGTCCAAGATTATTGCACTTATATAGCGACCTGCATGCACGTGTGTGTGTGTGGGGGTGGCTGCTTGTACTTGTCTGGACTGATGGCGATTTATAGTGCTAGCACACTGAGATACCATGCTGCAGTTTAACATGAATACCCCACTCAGACACAGTATACTGACTCTGAGCTGACCAGTCCTTGTTTTAGCCCCCTAATGCTGCGCACAAGACAGGGTAACAACAAGTACCATCTTTTAACGTCTTTAGGTATGACGCGGCCGGGATCGAACCCCGGACCTTCCTCTCTCCGGGCGGACAATGGAGGTGGTCTGTTGTTATGACTGGTTCTGTAAAAAGTAAAGAAGATCAGAGACATGTTCTTCCTCCTCAAATACCACCCTGTCCTCAACAACATTACCATCCTCATCCAGCCTTCCAATCTGTTCTGCCACCATATAATCCTGCTCAGCACTGTTCTCCAGATTTCCACCACACACACCTAACCTTCCCATGTTATCGGGCACCATGTAGTTCTCTATCCTTTCCACCACAATGTTGCCACCTTCAAGCGGCTGGCCATTGTCCTTACCGACCACAAACTTCTCCTCCAGAACTGTAGTAGTCTCTGGTGTACTTTCAACTTCAATGTTTCCACCTTCGGCTGCACATCCAATGTCCTCTGTTACCACAAACCTTACCTCAGGAACTCTCTCATTCACATTCAGCCTTCCATCCTCCTCCTGTATCACATATATCTCCGGCGTCACTCTCTCCTCCAGCCTCCCAGTGTCCTGTGTTAACTCATACTTCTCCAGAACACTCTGTTCTTGCATTGTAATCTGTTCTTCTACGACACATTTCCCCAGAACCCTCTCTTCTTCTTTCCCAGTGTCCTCTTCTAGCACATACTTCCCAAGTCCACTCTCATTCTCACCTTGCCTTCCTGTCTTATTTGTCATTGCATAAATGTCCCCCCTGTCCTCAACAACGTTCCCACCTTCATCAAGCCTTCCAATCTCCTCTGCCACCACATTAGTCCCCTCCACCAACTGTTGGTGGTGAATAATAGACACAGCATTTGATGTTTCTCCAGACTTGGCTGCAATTTTGTAGATCTTCAGAGACTCAATGTCTGATTTTTTAACCAATCCAGTATGATTAACCTTAGATGGAGATCCTGCATTCCGAGTCACTGCCTGGACCTTTGGTGAAGCATTATGAGTAAACCTTTGCATAGATTTTTTTCCATTAGAGTTGATATCTGTCTTTAGATCTGATACTGTCTTGGGTTTGTTTTGAGTCTGTTCCAAGCTGCCTTGATCCTTCTTGTCATCTCTCTTGGACACAATCATCACATGCTTCCCCTCACTCTGCAGCCTCTTCAAAGCTTGCTGAGCCTTGGGTGGAAGATCCTCGAGGTTCTGAACGTCTTGCTTAACCACCATCTGAACAAGCATGTCTTTGTCCGAGTTACATCGGATCTCAAACTCCACATCATTGCAGTGTAAGATCTTGATGTGATGGTTCAATACATTCTCATGCATGAACCTCTTGGCACATGTAGGACACCTGTGAGGGAACAGCTCACGATGACTCGGTGATAAAACATGCTCCACCAGAGCCTTGTGAGTCCCAAAAATGTCCGAGCAGTGTTGACACTTTAGCCTACGGTTCTCCTCCAGCATGCTTTTTCCTTTATGCTCAGTCAACATGTGATCTATCAGTGGACTGGGCCTGGGAAAGATCTTATCACACATGGCACACTGATGGAGCTTTATGCCTAAATGAATGGTCAATACATGATCTTGCATAGCCTTATAGTGTACATAGGCAATTCCACAGAAGGGACAGCTTAGCTGGTATGCGTAGTCATGAGTTGTGCATCGATGACATTCAAGCAAGGACCGACTAGCAAACGTTTGTGAACAGTCTGGACATTTCTTATCAATTATCTTGGTCACTCCATGAATCTGTTTGAGATGTTTCTTCATGTTGATGGAATCAAAGCTGTATCTGCACTGGGAGCATTTCTTCACCTCCCCTCCATGTTTTCGTTTTCTCTTTTCGGGTTTGGCCATGTCATTGGTTTCGTCAGATTTCTTCGATTTATTATGAACACGTTTGATGTGTCTTCTTAAGTAATCATTAATCACATAGGCACTTCCACATATGTGGCAAATATAGTTTCTTATGTTGTCATGCATGCCATTCATGTGATCTCGGAGACCTTGCTCACTCTTAAAGATTCCTGGACACTTGTCACAAAGAAGACGTTTATGTTCGTGCATGCGTCTTATGTGTGTCAGCAAAACTGATCTTGTGCTGAACACCTTTTTGCATGTTTGACAAGTCCTTCTTGAAATAAATGGTTCTGGAATAGAGACCTTATCAGGATGGTGGACACGGAGGTGGTTGCGAATGCTATCGTGACTGTGGAACATGGGCGCCTTGTCACAATATTGGCAACGAAAGCCTTCCTTGAACCTGACTTGACGGGCATAGTCTATAAATCCCCGCTTATCATGATGACAGGCACGGATGTGCTCAGCAAGTCGGAAATTGTCCACTACAGATTTGAGGCAGTATCTGCAGGTGAATCTCATGGGCATGTGATGTGAGTCATCATTCTCAACAACAGGAGTCCGCTTCAGTCGAGACCAGTCAATACTCTGTTTCCCAAGCAGGCGGTAGTTTATTTGCACACCAACAGATGCCAGCGTAGACTCGGCAACAACAGCGGGCACTTCATCAAAGGAAACTGCCTCGTGGATGCTGTCTGAAACCCGGGGTACCACTGAAAAACAAAGCCAGGGTAAAGTGAGCAAAAGAGTGCAGCAAAATAATACTGATACAGCCTTGTCACAGTGAGTGAGTGAGTTGGGTTTAACGCCGCTTTTAACAGTATTCCAGTTATATCGCGGCGTGTCAGCTTAATGTGGGAGGAAAGCCTGAAGTGATGCAGGTCTCAGACGTTAACCACTTCGGTGAAACCCACGAGCACGGGTATGGTGCTGACAATGCCTTTTCACAGTGCTTGACAGAGTGAATACTGGGATATTATTACTTCCAGGGATTTACCTGGCCAATTAAAGTCAGTGTCCTTGGGATATTTAGATTCTCTTTTTTTTTTTTTCAAATAGTGCCATGGCGCTGTTTGTTTGTTTGTTTGTTGTTTTACGCTCCAGCTAAATGATAGTGGCCTGTTAATAATCGAGTCTGGCCCAGATAATCCAGTGATTGATATCATGAGCATCAATCCATGCCATTGGGATATGATGACATGTATCAACCAAGCCAGCGAGCCTGACCACCCAATCCCGTTAGTCGCCTCTTGCGACAAGCATAGTTGCCTTCTACCCCGGATCTTCATGGGTCCCATGGCGCTGTAGCTCACCTGGACATGTATTTTAAAATCCAAGATGATTTACCTCTCTCTTTCTCTGTATTTCCCAAGGCATCCCCTAAGCTTCCGACAACTGGGATCTGCAGCTGGAAAATGATAAATAATAATAATAATAATAATAATAATAATAATGCATTCACAGAGCGCCTAATATTAAACCAGTGCTGTGAAGAAACTGAAGTGTTTGTGTTCAAAATGTTTTGTTTGTTTTTTAACACCACACTTAGCAATATTCCAGCTATATGATGGCAGCCTGTAAATAATTTAGTCTGGACCAGACAATCCAGTGATGCAGATGGTGAAAGTATTCATGTGACAGCCATGAGTATCGGTATGGTGGTGTGAACCAAGAATCATCGTCAATCTGGTGTTCAATCAGCAGATGTTAGTACTTGGACAACACTGCACAACTGGACCACCCCTCTTTCATCTGACAGACACCTAGCTTGCCTATACAATAACAACAAACAAACATAGCCTCATGCCAGTCATCTTTAATAGCACTGTGACAGTCAAAACTCCCATGCATTGACATGATGGTCATAGAACTAGATCGCATTGTTGAATGAAGACCTGGCCCTTCCTGTTTACTGGTAATTACCAGTTTTCTACCGGTAAAATTAGGCATGGACAGACAATTCATGCCAGTCCCTGTGGAACGGCAAATAAAGTTCCGTATAAATCTTGGTTGTTGAACAAAACATCGGTGATATTCGTATAAGTACATTTTTCTAACAAAGTCAGCTTGTCTGTTACCATCAGGGTTTCCCCTTGTCTTTTTCTAGGTGAAATATCCATTTGTAGCGACTTTATCTCAAAATATTAATAAAAGAGAGACAAAAATTGTGACTGAAGTTTGTGTGAATGACGTATAGATCTAATTAAGTTACTTTAGAGATGACAACTTTGCACTGAACATGATGTTGAAAAAATTAAAACCAAATAATTTTCATATGTTTTTTTATTTGTTGACTTGGCTCAATTGGGACTGACAAAAATTTGGGGGACTGGTAATTTTTAGAGTTGCCAGTCCACAAGGTCTGGCAGTTTCAAAAGCCAGCGAGAACACTGCTGGACAAAGGCTCCTTCTTATGCTATCCTACCTCAGTGTCTTTATTGTATGTGTACAGGTCTTCATCCTCCTCTTCCTCTACAGCAACGGAGTCTTCATCTTCCTCGACCACAACTGGGTCTACGCCTCGCACAGATACCACAAACACGTCCTGTAGCAGAAATCAATATGGTGAGGGGAAATTATGTGGCCCACAGGGTTTGTCTCTTTGTTTAATGCCAGCAATATTTTAGCTATATGACAACAGGTTCTTAAAAAAATATTGAGTCTTGACTAGACAATCAAGTGATTGACCTCATGAGCATCAATCCACACAATTGGAATACGATGACATGCAGTCCATCAACTCTGGCCACACAATCCATTAAATCATCTAAAGCATAGGTTCCTGGGATCTGTATTCTTAATAATACGAATCTACTTCTACAGGAAGCTGTAAAAATCCAGTGAGTCAATGCATTTTAATGCTGCAGTCAGCCCACTGAGATACCATGTCGCAGTTTGAACATGAAAACTCAGATGCAGTATACCGACTCCCAGCTAACCAGTCCTTGTCTAATCCTGTTATGACGAGTGCCAGGCAGGGTAACAACAAGTACCAGTGTCCGAAATAAGTGCCTGCCCGCCTGACTATGGGTGGTTACCTTTCTGTCTGTCGGGCTGTCGGACAATTTCCTCCACCTGCCCGACTACTTGCAGATAATATTAATACTGCTTACGTATTCATTTTTATTAATACTCTAATATTCCTTGAAGATCATCAAGTCATTGTTTGCATTATTTCAACCATCCTCCTGAGGCAAGGGTGTTAACTGACTACAAAAGTCCAGTTTTCACCCTTGCCTAACTAGGAATTCCTGGGCTCAGTGGCCATTACGCGTCCCTTCTATGTCCCTCTTATTGACCAATCAGATGCCACCTCTCATATCACATGCATTTGCTTCAAACAAAATGGCAGCACCCTGTCAAGAGGATCTGATTGATAATCAATATCTATAATCAATATCTATGATAAAACAGATCTTACATCGGGAAGTGGATCAAATCACATGAGCACCTTGATTAAAAACATGAAAAGATTTGGATAATATCTGTTGACAACGAGTTGGCAGTGCACATGCTTTACAAATCCTGCAATCAACAGAAATCTGCAGGACAGTTTACAAACTGGATCTCGATTTTGTAACGCAATTCTGATTTGACTATGCATAAACGTGTTAGCCCAGCCAAAACCTAACTCCATAATACCAGCCTAGTTCGACAAGGGTGGAAACTGGACTTTTATAGTCAGTTAACTCTCTTGCCTCGGGAAGATGCTCTACAGGTAGACCATGGAGGCGAATCACATCTAAATGAGAGTTCCATTGAAGGGATATGTGTTCTGTGTGGGTTTTCTCTTGCTTAAATCAAATGTTTCAATACAGGTAGCATCAAAACTGAATTGTTTTACAAAGCTGACATCTGATAAAGCATGCTTAGATGAGGCATCATTTTAACAAAATATCTTTTCACTGCCAACCTGAAATACATTGCATTAGAATATACAAATAAATGACAGTAGAAACTATTAATAAACAAAAGTGTAGAAAACAAAAAGCTAGTTGCCAGGCATTTGAACATGTCTGATAAATAATATTATCTGTAACACTTAAATTTGACATTTTCTTATCCTACCTCGTCCTTTAGAGGGATGTCTTGAACTGATCCTGGTTGTGGAGTTGTCTCCCTTTGACCATCCTTCTCCTTTCCAGAATCTGATAACAAATATGACATAAAATAGTGTTTGTTTGTCTGTTATTTAACCCTGCACTCAGCAATATTCCAGCTATATGAAAGCAGTCTGTAAATAATCATCCACGCAATACAATGACATGCTTCAACCAAGTCAGCGAGTCTGACCACCCAATACCTTCAGTTGCCTCTTACGCCAAGCATTGTTGCCTCTTATGGCAAGCATGGGTTGCTGAAGACCTATTTTACCCCGGATCTTCACGGGTTGATAAATAGTGAACAAATACTGAAACTCATACTAACCCTGATAGTTTGTTCCTGCATCACTTTTACAAGACCAGATCAAACAGCAGGGAGATACACTTCATGTAGAAATTGATTAATTTCATCAAAGAGGACAAAGAATTATTCAATCTTTACTTCTATACACAATTTCTTACACATAATTATGAGTAAATTTATTTGGTTGTAAAATCCTGATTGGTGATTGGACCATCCCGACTGATCCTCAAAACTAGTCAATTTGTGCATTTTTCTGTTTAAGTTCAGTAAAACTAGCTCCACCTAACAAAAACACAAATACTTAATCAGCATTTTATTTTACAAGTTATTTCTCTCTTTCTCCTCCAAGATGTACCTAGCAAGTAGTGAATAAACATCTCAGGAGATATTGTTTAAACATACCGACATACAATATTGTATGGTCTCTTTAAAGGATAAGTACTGTTGACAACTTGACAGAGGGTGCAAAATCATTTGTGTTTGACTATAGAAAATTGTGTTCGATTGCTTGGTCTGTAGGACTATATTGAGGACTGTCATCATTGGAATATTTTATATAGTCCTCAGCACAATTTACCAGTGGTAGTCTTGGACGAGTAGATTAGTGTGAATTTGAAGTCTGAAGAGGCTGAAACAATGGTCCTAACTCTGTGACCCATGTTGAACACTTTGCAAAGCAAGAAATGTAATCTCGATGCTTGTTGGTCAGGGCACTTGCTGGAAAAGACAAACAACAGAGCTGAGATACCTTTCTTTGTTTCCATCTTCTGTTTCTCAGAGTCGGATTGGTCAGTGAAGTAGTCATGATCCATGACAACCAAGTTCTTGTCAGCTGGGGCCCCTCCTCTTGGGCGTGTAAAGCGCTTCCTGTCTGAAAAGAAACATACAAGATTAGAAGCAGATAGGGATCTGTCTCAACCATGGGACTGTCCCAGTGCATGCTGGGTACATTTCCATTTATATATAGATGTTTGCTGGGAGATTTTCTACACCTGCCCAGAGACAAATAATTTTAATAAAAAAAATTCATAATTCATGCATCTTTAGTCTAAAACTGAAGTGAGTGATATTAGCGTCGTTTTGAATAGATACCAGTTATATCACGGCATATCAGCTTGATGTAGGAATATGGCCTGAAGTGATGCAGGTCTCAGATGTTTACCACATTGGTGAAACCCACCTTCGTGAATATGGTGCTGACAAACCCAAGAAAGAAATCGGGGCAAACTGGGTTTTGAACCCACAATCATAGATTTGTGGTGCACCAGACAAACAGGCCACCCGTGCCCCCAAAACTAATATCAAGGCACTGTAGAAGTGACTTCACTGCATAACACAACCAATAAAGAGGAAGAGGTTTAATGGTTCCTTCTACACTGTAAAACTAATGGGAATGTGTGCTACAATCTGATTTGATGAAAACCTTGACTAAATGGGACCGGAAGCCCAGAAATCTCCTGGACTATATACACTACGCATGAATACGTTTCTTGAAAATACTCAATAATACCAGCAAATCTGCAAAACACGTAATGTCTATCTCTTAATTATTGTTTTGGTTGGTTGGTTTGTTGTTTAATGCCGCACTCAGCAATATTCCAGCTATATGACGTCAGTCTGTAAAATAATCGAGTCTGGACCAGACATTCCAGTGATTGACATCATGAACATCAATCCACACAATTGGGATCGATGACATGCATCAACCAAGTAAGCGAGCCTGACCACCCGATCCCGTTAGTAGCGCCTCTTATGACAAGCATAGTCGCCTTTTACGGCAAGTATGGGTTGCTGAAGAGCTGTTCTACCCCGGAATCTTCACGGGTCAATTATTGTTTTGAATGCAATGTAAATACCCACCAGCTTGTTTCACATCAAGCTCTGTCTGGTGTACAGATCAACAGATCATAGCCAAAATCCGAAACAAACAAGAGTCATCAGAAGATGACAAACCCTCCTGGCCCCCACAATAGCAAAAGGCACCAAGTTAGCCCCTGGTTAATACATGTACAAAGTTTGAATGAAAATTCTTTCACGGTTTTCAAGTTATGCTCCAAAAACAAAATACATGTACAAGCTGACTGACGGACGGTCCAGATGATAACATTGCCAAATAAATATGTGAACAAACCACCTTGACTCAAGACATTATGCTGTGGCATTTGGGCCATATTCCAATCTAATTATATCCCAAAAATATCATATTGCCGGGGGGATAAAGAGCAGTAAAATATACATGATATATGATTCTATTATAAATTCAGTTTTAAAAAACCTAAATGTTTGTATCTACATGATCTGAGGCCTTACTTATCTGAAAAAAAATAAACATATTTCTTTACAATGAAATTAAAGAAGTTAGACAAATGAAAGGTACATTGTGCCTTGAGAAGATGAGTGTTGGAGTGTTTCTTGAAACAACAAATGAAAGATTTTCTTCCTTTAACCTGATTTGCTAATCAATAAATCATGGAAATTAAAGGAAACTTTCTGCGTCGTAACCTGGTAACAACTTGATGCCATATAGAGAAGGAGATACTACAAGACCAGATGTTTCACACAGTATACAGAGTTAACATTCTATCATGTCTATCCACATATTTTTAACCATATTTTTTTATCAACCAACACAACACTATTCCCTCCTATCAGTGCATGGAAAAAAATTAAAAAAATTAATTGTTTGATAGGCATTACTTAGAAGTTGTTGGATGACAAAGTAGACACAATTTTTGGATAACATCTTTATTTTACTTTAATGGCGACGTTTCAATATAGATCCTTATACTGTTGTAAAGCAAGGCTGAGTGATGATTTACTTACTTACTTACTTTTGGAGATTTAACATGTGCTTTCTGACATTATCATTATGAGTATTTCGTAGGGCTGCAACGATACAGGAAGGTCACGATACGATACGCATCTCGATATTCTGGTCACGATACGATACGTATCCTGATACGTAATGATAAATAAAACAAGGCTTAAAGCATGTCAAGATTGAACTTTTCATGATTTTGGAACAGTCAAAATTATTTTATAATAACAAGACTACTGAAGTTGTTCAGCTTCAACAGTGTTCAAAGTGGAACTTTCTCTAACTTTCCTTAAAAACAATTCAAAGTTCAAACACCAGAAAATAATTATTGTACTCCACCAGTGATACAACTTCAAAGAATTTTGATGCAATGGTCGAAGAAATTATTGTTCTATCAGGATTAATATATTCCAATATCGTGTTACCTTAGTTGCAGGTTTTACTATATATATATTTCAAATTATAAGAACCACAAGTGTAACATTTTGGTACTGGTGATTGCTGTTGCAGGATATTTTTACGTATGGAACAATTTGTTCAATCACCCTAGGGACTTCCCATGCTACATGTATTTCGATTGTGAAAACGTTATGTTGACATATATTCGCAAAATTGCCACAAATATGACTTTTAACGAGTCAAAGTATGGCATTTTTAATATATGTATCCATTCTCTAGCAACTAAAGTTCGTTTCAATGCGTCAAAAGCGGTAATCTGACCGTGGTTGCTGTATCTCTTCACACACGATTTCACAAAACTAAATGAAAACTATATTAAATGAAACTTTGAATAAAATTAATAAAATATATTACAAACACAAGTCCAGATATATAATGAACATGTTTTAATAACAAGATAGTATAATAATGGTATTGAATTACGTACTTCAGTTCGGACTTGCTGACTGGTATTATGTGCTTGCGGGGATCAGCTGATAATGTTTTTTGAGATGGGGAAAAACATCTGTCGGTGTAAAACCTGAGCTTATTAAAAATGTAAGTACGTTTTGGGGAGCCATGCGTTACCGCATGCTATAACCAAGATAGCGGTTTATTGAAAGGCACAATAGCGAGGAAACGCTGTACTTGAGATTTGCGTTCCGTATCGTGGCGTATCGATAAATGGGCCCACGTTTATCGTATATCGTATCGTGGGTCAAGTATCGCGATGCATCGGAATATCGGTGTATCGTTTCACCCTTAGTATTTCGCACTCGATGAACATGGTACAGAATATATATATCAGATATAGTAGGATGAGGATAACAGCAACAACAATTGCATACTTGAGACAGATTAAGATGAATAGGTTAAAAAGAAACAAGAGCAGGATAATACTGTAACAACTAATGGACAGAGAACACATGACGAGGAAGCCAATATTACAGTAAACTAAACATGATAAAGAAGTTGTTATCCATAAATTGTTTCTACTTTGTCATATTTGTTTTGGTGCTGGTCCTTTGGACCACTGGCAAATTTTGGTCATTGTCAAGCACTGCACAGACCAAATTTCACAAAAGGTGAAAGAAAAGAAAAAGGACAAATAACACTGTCACTCCAATTTTCTTCTTGCCCAGCATACAAAAAACATTTCAGTTAAAGGACCTAATGAAAAGTCATCATATGGGTGAAGTGAGCTGGAGTGGGGTTTTTAATGCCACATTCAAGGTTATTGCACTTATAAGTCTGCTTGTTCTAGCCCACACTAATGACAGTTTCATTGTGCTATCTCACTGAGAAACATGCCACAGTTTAAGATGGATACCCCACTCAGCAACAGTATACTGACTCTGAACCGAACAGTCCTTCTTTTATCTCATAATGCTAAGCACCAGGCAGGGTAACAGGCAACATCTTTTAACATCTTTCGGTATTCTGCTCTGGGCAGACCTCTATTAACTAGACCACATAGGTAGTCCTGATTTATATGGGAAGCGAGGTAACTCATTGAATGGTGACCCCATCAGTAGAAACAAACAATTTAAGTCCACTAGTCCTAATAATGAATAGCAAAACACTTAAAAATGGCATATTTCAACTAGTCCTTATGATACATGTACTTAACTATCGGGCAGTTTGGCAAGGACTACGGGACTAGGGCCAATTTCTACTGGAACCTTCAAAGAAATACTCAAAATTTCGGATTTTGAACCCAACTGATCATAAACATGACAAAACTCCCTTAAACATTCTGCAAATAATTTTTATGTGAAAAAACATGGTTTGGGAAGAAATATCTGCATATCCTCAGAAAGACCAACAAAGAATTAAAATAAAATTAAAAAAACATTCCTACCATGTTTCTTGAGCCATCTCTTTCTCCGTCTCTCATAGATGCATCGAGGTACTCTTGTTGCAGGCTCGACCACCTTGACAAAGTTTAGGCATGGTAATGGATGAAAGATGAGCGCAAATGGTCCAAGTAATACAGTTCCCTCAACATCTTCAACCTCACCCTGAACGTAGTACCGGTCTTCAAGAGTCTTCAGTAACACAGAGGAGTTGATAAGAAACTCTATCCCAGGAATATAATTACCGACACCTAACTTGGTGTACTGTTTGCAGTTCAAGTCTACCACACTAGAGATCTGTGAGTACACCACTGACAATCTGGGAGGCCTTAGTAATTCCGTTTCATCCGTATAATCTGCCTCTGAGTCTTCAGATGAAATGTCGCTTGGGAGGAGGAGGATGAATGTTTTCAATGTGTCTGATGCCATTTTCTCCTTTAGAAAACCATGTTCAGCACTGGCTGGAGCTCCTGTGGAACTGTCTGTTTCAATGTTGAGATCAGATACATTATCATTAGCTGAATATTCAGCTTCAGATGTTCCTTGGAGATCTGACGCCAGTTCCATAACAATTTTTTCCTGTTGTGTTACCAGTTTTCTTCCTAGAAATTCCTTTTTCTTTTGAACTTGTTCTTTTCTAATATTGATGACAATGGGAAGGGAGATGTCATCTTGTATCATGACAGGTTTGAACTCTGTAGGATAATCAAGTGGGCATCTTTCAATGCCTTTGGAAATATTGGTATAAAATGACACATTTATGTCTTCTATGCCTTCAAAAACATCAGAGTTTGTTTCACTGTGGGCTGAGAGAGTTAACTGTCCGTCTTGACCTTCAGTCAGTTGAAATCGACCTGGAACTACTTGTACTGGGAATACCTTAGACATTGAGACGTGAGGTTTCGGCACGTTTGTTTTGACCCTCGTGTCTACTGGTGTAATGGCTTGGGCTATGCGCATTCCCATTTTGGGGAGAATTGGCTTGTATGTCTTTCCTTGACAAAGAGGTGCTTCTTCCAGGGAAGGTGAAGGAAGACTAGCATTGTCTTGGTTAGGATGAGAGAGTTGTGTACAGTCATTGTTAGGCTGAGGAAGAAGTTTCTGCACTGGGGTTACCAGAAGTGGTGTTTGCTTTGAAGTGTGTACCTTTGTTGGGATTGGTTGAGAAAGAAGCAGCTTTGATGGTGTTGAAAGAAGAGTTTTTTTGAGGATTGTTTGAGAACGAGGTGTTGATGGTGTTGATTGAGTTCGCAGGGTCTTTGCTGGTGTTGTAGAATGCAGTGTTACTGATGATGGAGGAAGAGGTGGGTTCCCAACTGCTGGTGATGGAAAAGGTTTCTGTGAGGAGCTTCGAGTCGGCAGCTTTACCACAGTTGATGGAGAAAGCAGAGCAGTTTGTGTGGGGAGAGGATGTGAGGTTTTCACTGCTGCTGGGTGAGGAAGAGGTGATGCAGACTCCTTGAGTAGAATACCTGATGGGGCGACAGTGATAATGATAGGAAGGACTTGCATTTTAACCCGCTCTTTTCCCTCAGGCACTTGATCAGGGTCTATTTGTGCAGAGAGTTCGCCTACATTTGTATTGACAGGAGAAGTATCTGGACTAAACTCTCCCAGATCATCACTGGAATCATGAGAATCATCACTCTTCACCAAAGCTGACCAATCAACTGTATTTATTCTTGGACGAAGATTTATGCTTTTCATTAAATCCTGCTTTTCACATTCATGAACACTAAAGTCAACTTTGGTTGTTGTGGGGAGATGTTTGGATTTTGTTGCATACTTTCTGACTTTGGGTGTTAAACCTTTCTGTTCAACATTCACTTGCCTGGTTTTCAACGCAGGCGACACTTTGTCTTTCTTGATTGCTGGCCCTGGGCTGCTTGTATCTGCCTCACGTTTTCTTGATTTTAACCCACTCCCAGGTTTGTTTCTGATGAATTGAGAAAGTTCCTTCCTGGCATGTTCACTTTGAGGGGTTATGTCTCCACTGTCAGCTTGTTTTGACCGAGTCTTTGATGTGTTGTCAAGTATATCGTGAAGAACAACGGTGCATTTTTTAAGTTCAGATTCTGGTGAATCTGAAAGATGTTCTTGTGTTTGTTCAGCATTTGTTTTTGTTATAAATGTCTCCTTTGTTTCTTCCCATGTGTTAAATGCGCAGCGTAAGATGCCATCCTTACACTGAAATATATCGGTACTTATCGATATGCTCACGTTCTCCAACTTAGATGTGGCTGTCACTGATAACGGTGCCGGTGTACGAATCAAATTAATGGAATCTTCCTTTCCACCGATGTGTGAAATGAAATATTGCGATTTTGAATCATGTCGTGCCTTGATTAAGTGTTCAAGAAAATCATAAGGGAAGGACAATTTCAATTCTTGAATATTCATGACTTGAGCAATGTTGCCGTTTAAGGCCAGCTAGTATACAATATTCTCGCATAAACAACGAGCGTTCCACCATCACAGGAAGCAGTCACAAATATATCAGGAAAAGATAACTCTAAATATAAGGTCCGCTAATGAAAAACGTCTCAACACGATTATTTGAAAAGCTTTTACTTTGGTTTTGTTCGTGAACATTTTGTTGACGGAATGCAATATCTAGTAAATGCACAACTTGTTGAAGTAATAAAAAAACATTTTCATTTGTCGTCAAATTGTATGATAGGCGTTGTCATTTTACACCTTGATGAATATAACCGCTAGGTGTCGCTGTGCAGATTCCTTGTCCAGTGTCAAGCTCCTCACAGCGATAGTCCGTTCGCGGAGCTCTCTATGTTACCGAGAGTGTAACGAAGGTGTCACGCGCTGGGAAAGAGCTTGGTCCAGTGTAAACTGGATCCCTGTCGATGTTCCGTCCTGAAACACACAGGCTGCTGTCTTTTCGCAACTGAGAACGGGTACCAGTTATGTCCGCCGGCGATTAATAAAAGGGACCATTCATTGTGTAGCAAAATCAATAGTTTCCAAGTGCTTCTTATTAGAAGTATCCCAAACAAGCAGCCTATTCGGTATTCTCTTTACTTGATACACATTTTGTTAACAGATCAACTTCATGATACTTAATGTCTTTTCTAATGAGTCAATTTGATATCACTTACATGATATATATGACTTAGGAAATGCATGCTTTATTGTTTTTAATATCTCATTTTGTTTGTTTGTTTGTTGTTGAACGCCGCACTCAGCAGTATTCCAGCTATATGACGGCGGTCTGTAAATAATCGAGTCTGGACCAGACAATCCAGTGATTTACATCATGAGCATCGATCCATGCATTGGGATACGATGATATGCATCAACCAAGTCAGCGAGTCTGACCACCCGATCCCGTTAGTCACCTCTTAATTACGACAAGCATGGTCGCCTCTTATGACAAGCATGAGTTGCTGAAGACCTAGCTATTTTCCCCCGGATCTTCACGGGTATTTTTAATAACTCATATAGATGTAGTAAAAATGTATCCGTTAAATACACCGAAGTCCCGTTAATCCGAAAGCTATCACTGAAAGCTACATTATAATCGGGATCATTGAAACAGCATTATGGCGCAATGGCCACTGGATTTATATACGTTTCTGACACTTATTTTACTCTGTATTGTGTAAACAGTTTTTTCATCGGCGAGAAGCGTGCTTTGCCAGACTTGATCATTTGTGAAAATAAAAAAATGCAACCTCCGATTATTGTAGAACTACATATGAAAAGGGTGGTATTAATACGTAAAAAGTGTTAATCCGGACAATTCCGCTGTGAACACCGATTATTAGTGACTAACGAGCTAGAGGGGCTTATCTCTAACCCCCCCCACTCCCCCCCCCCCCTCTCTCTCTCTCTCTAGCATGGAACTCTAACATGAAACAAGTCAGACACCTTAATTAGACGTTCGTTATTATATATTTTACTAATTACCTTAATACAACATATGTCAATACCACAGACGTAAGCACTGCATGACGTTTTTAGGCCTACTACAGAATATACGTAGTGCAGACTTTAATACTACTGATACTACATACTAGTATATCCTTGTACTACAGACGTCATGTGAGGTGAAGGGAAATGGGGTTTAACATCGCGATCAAGTTTATTGCACTTTTATAGGGACGTGTTGTTCTTCAGACGTTAATGATAAAGATTATGTGTGTATGCCTGAATGGTTTACTTTGAACATTTTATACAAGAATACATGCTAGTTACGTAAATATTGTGTGTGTACTTGTATGAAACCTGTACCCCAAATCCTTGAATAAACCCATATATAATGAGCTTCTCAAATATAAAGTGCACGGCCAAATAAATTGGAAAAAAATCAATTTCTTTGGCGCAAAAGCCTCCCTGAAAATATAAATGCTTGTCTCGGAAAAAACCGCTAAATTAAAGGAGTTTCCGAAAAAAAAAAATAGAATAAAATATTATATCTGGCGCTTATTCAAGGATTCAAGGTGCATCTGTGACACAAATATATGTCCATCTGTTGTGTTTTTAGATACGGTATGTTTTAGCTTGACGAGTCCCGGTTTCAATAACAATATAAAAAAATCCTTTAGCATATATTTTAGAATTTGTCATTTATGTTTGTGTGTTGTTTAACGCCGCATTCAGCAATATTCAAGCTATATGACGACGGCCTGTAAATAATCGAGTCTGAACCAGAACCCCCCCCCCCCCCCCCCCCCACACACACACACACACAAAAAAACAAACCCAGTGATTGATATTGTGAGCAGAGATCCACGCCGTCGGGGTATGATGACACGCAATTACCTGATCCATTCAGTAGCGTCTTACGACCTGCATAGGTTGCTAGGGAACTATTCTAACCCGGAATCCCCAGGAGGATGTGTCGTTTAGAGTTAATGTACATCATATTTGGTATATGACCTATTGCACTCATCAGCTCATATTAAGTATATACCGATGAAAATCAAATTCTAGTTGTCACGTGCAAGACAATTTATAACCATACTCTTTTGTTCATGATGGCATTTGGAGGTGGTCAACATAATACACTTAGGCCAGGTTCACACAGTGCCGATTATGGCTCCCGTCTGAGATCAGACAGCGCTACGATACGAAAAGTGAAAAAGTCGGATTGCTATCTTCAATGATCTGGAATGTCCTATCATTGTCTGAACGCAGTCGTATACGTTTGTAACAGAGTCCTACGGATTGGCAAAGGTCCAGAGAGGTTGGCCAAGCACTCCCGACAATATGGTGCGTCCCGTAACATTCGGGAAACTCAGCCGATTTTGTCTAGTTTTATTACAATCGTGACAATGTCGTGACAGATTCTGCTGTATCGGATCAAAATAGTAACAATGTCCTGTGTTGTCTGGACGGTGTCCTGTGGATCGGAACGTTGTCACGAAGAATGGGCATAAATTGTTCATTGCCGTTTCTTGTCGATTGAGTCCAGATTGCGTCCAGATCTTGCCGAATGCAAACCGTCTTTGTCGGTTCACTGTCCGGCCACTGTCTGATCTCTGTCGGATCGCATTCGGGAGAATCGGGACGCTGTCGGGGACAGATTCGGTCGTTTTTTACCATGTGGAAGATACAAAACGGATCAGATTCGGATTGAGAACGACAGAATCGGGGCGAATTCAGCTGGAAACGGCTGAATCGGGACGCTTCCTGAACAATATCTGATTGTTTGTGATTTTCCCGCCACGAACAACAGGGTCTTGACCAGATCTTTGACAAATTTTAATCGGGAATGGTCCTATCAAGGACGGCAATAAAAATCCCGAATCTGTGACAGAGCCCTTTTACATTATATATCCTGGTGTTGTTTAACGAAACTGAATACACTCTGGTGATGACAAGCGGACAGAAAGCATAGATTGTCACCAAATCGACAGTGAAATACGCTAGTTGTCACCGTGATTAAACATTGGTATTAAAAGGCGTTCATTGTATTTCTGTCTTTTTTAATTGATATTATTTAATATTGATGCAATAGTATGTGTATTCGTTTCGGCGAAATCGTACGGTTAGCTAACGGATAAATGTACTTGAATATACTCTTGTTCTGGTCCGCTCATTGCGTCAGGGTATGCCAAATAATATCATCCAAATTTTGTGTACAAAGTGCCTTGTTTAAACTCAGACATTTGTATCTGACCCATCCTCGATTATCCAGGGCAGTTTATCTCCATTCTATTATGTGAATACCTTGGGCCCATTCGCCACTATAGCTTTCTCCCAAATTCTTATTACACACAAATAATCTGGTTAGACGTCTATTTTTAACGTGGTGCTATTCAAATCGGGCTCAGAGCGAAGCTATTTCAGGAGATGGATCCAGGGGTGAACGTGTGACTTGGGTTTAACGCCGTTTTGAACAGTATTCCAGTTATATCACGGCAGGTGAGCTTAATGTGGGAGGAAAAACCAATGTGATGCAGGTCACAGACGTTAACCACTTTGGTGAAACCCACGAGCACGGGTATGGTGCTGACAAACCTAGAAAAGTAATCGGGGCGAATCGGGATTCGAACCCACAATCATAGGTTTCTGGATATCCCAAGGGACGCAACTCTGCACGAGTGGGCCACTCGTGTCCCCTCCAGGGTATTTATCATAATAGAGTTGAGATATATTACACTGGATACACGAGTATACACATGAAATAGTGTACTGATTTACTTCCAGATCGATCTTGATGATTAAAACCTAGACGCGCCATGCGTGACTGCCATTTCGCCAGAGCTTATTGTCCTGTAAGCATTCAGTTACTGCCATAATCGAGGATATTGTAGTTCTATTATTCTTATTACCTATGCGTAGCGTCCTTTATATACAAGGCTTAAGATCTGATGTAAACGCAGCACACAAGCCACCCTCAACATTGGTACAGGGACACTAGACCCATACCGCCTCTGCTTGACATTACAAGGACACAATCCAATCCTTAGGAATGTAGATCAATTTGCAGACAATGATAACTCGAATTACACAATCACACGGACACTGAAGGACTGTTCAAGCTAATTGACCCCTGTATAGGTTAGAGAAATATTAAACCCACACCGAGAATGATACCTTAAAGAAATCACCAGACTGGAACTGGTCAGCAGAGCCTTAGGAATGGTCTCAATCTGAGGTTCAATTCCTTGGTACAGATCGTGTTGACTGCCCCCGTGGTATAGTGGAGAGGGCGTATGTCCGTGAGTGGAAGGTTGGTAGCTCAGGGACCTGGTTGCGCTGTACCAAAAAACGTTATGAGGTTGTACCGTTAGGGGCTGCCCCTTTGATGGAGGGAGCGAGGGAGGGTGGGTGGATGGGTAGGAAGGGGTCGTTTGTTGTTGTTGTTGTTGTTGTAGAGTCGTGATTTTTTCTCTTTAGTTTTAGGGACTGGATTTTTCATCATAAAGGAGAGCTGACATTTTTTACGTTACATTTCAAATTCAAAATATGGAAAGAATGTTAAGTCTTTCTAACTGTTTCTCACCAAAACCTAACACAATA